ATATTTCGTGGTCCCATATGGAGCTTCACCGACGGCCCCAGTGGTTGTGTTCGCATGCGCCCAGCGCACACGCTTCGTGGCCACATACGGAGCTCCACCGACGGTCCCATTGGCTGCGTTCGCATGCGCCCCCCGCACCCATACTGACACGCCCCTCACACGCTTCGTGGCCCCATCGCGTACGCCTACCGCACCAATCTTGGTTCACCTCTCGCACGTTTCGTGACCTCCAAGAGAGCCCACCTACGGCCCCTGCGGTTGCGTGCGCATGCGCCCACCGCAACAATTTCGGTACACCCCTCACACGCTTCATAGTGAGCTCCACCGACGGCCTCAGTGGTTGCGTTCGCATGCGTCCACCGCACCAATTTTGTGGCCCCACAGGGAATTCCACCGAAGGCCCTTATGGATGCGTTCGCATGCGCCCACCGCACCCATTGTGGCACCCCTCATACGCTTCGTGGCCCCATGTGGGAGCTCAACCGACGGCCCCAGTGGCTGCGTTCGCACGCGCCCACGGCACCCATTTGGCACAACCCTCGCACGCACGCTCCGTGGCCCCAGGGGGAGCTCCATACAACGACAGTGCTCACAACTGCATGTGGTTGCGCCTTTTCGCCAAGCTCAATTTACATGATCCGGGCCCCAGGGCCATCACATATCGATCTGGCATCTCGGAGAAATCGAGACGATGATTTGTCACCGTTTTCGGCCTCGCGGCCCGTACCGAGCCTCCTCTTGTCTAGAAACAAATCGAGACGCCGGATGTCTGGGGAGGTCTGGGCGTTGCGCTTTATAACACGTTTCGGGCACTGGGGCCATCACAGATCGATCTGGCTCGAAAATTTCAACAGAAAGATAAACAGATGGGGTCTCGGCCCTGAGATCTGGCGCTGCCGCAATACATTTCGGGCCTCGGGATCATTCCCCAACCATCCTGTGGTGTTGGGTTTTCGTTTTGAAGAGACAGCGCCCCGCGTCTCCGTCACTGGCTCCTCCTCCTCCTCCTCCTGCTCTTGCTCCTGCTCCTCCTCTTTCTCCTCCTCCTCCTCCTCTCCTCCCATCCTTGCCCCTGCCCATTGCACCAATCAAAAACTCCGGCACACCCCGCACAAGCTTCGTGGCCCGATAAGGAGCTCCACCGAAAGCCCCACTGTCGCCTGCGCCCGACGCACAAATTTCGGCACACCTCTCACACGCTTCGTTGCTCCACGGGGTGCTCCACCGAAGGAAGGCCCCACTGGCTGCGTTCACATTCGCCCACCGCACCCATGTCGGCACACTCCTCAAACTTTTCGTGGCCCCGTAGGGAGCTTCACCGAATGAACCAGTGGCGGTGTTCGCATGCGCACACTGCACCCATTTCGGCACACCCCTCACGCGTTTCGTGGCCTCATAAGGGGCTCCACCGAAGGCCGCAATGGCTGCGTTCGCACGCGCCCACCGCACCCATGCCGGCACACCCCTCACACGTTGCGTGGCCCCATAGGAAGCTCCACCGAAGGCCCAACTGGCTGCGTTCGCACGCGCCCACTGCCTTCATATCGGCACACCTCTCATAGGTTTCGTGGCCCCAAAAGGAGCTCCACCGACGGCCCTAGTGGCTGCGTTCGCATGCTCCCACCGCACCTATGCTGGCGCGCCCCTCACACTCTTCCAGGCCCCATAAGGAAAAAATAGTGGCTGCGTTCGCATGCGCACACCGCACCCATGCCGGCACATCCCTCAAACTTTTCGTGGACACATTGGGAGCTTCACCGAAGGCCCCAGTGGCGGTGTTCGCATGCGCCCGCCCCGACTGTTTCGGCACACCCCTCGAACGATTCGTGGCCCCATAACGAGCTCCACCGAAGGCCCCACTGGCTGCGTGCGCATGCGTCCGCCCCGCACATTTCGGCTCACCGTTCACACGTTTCGTGGCCCAATAGGAAGCGCCACCGAAGACTCCAGTGGTGGTGTTCGCATGCGTCCGCCTCGCCTATTTCGGTACATCCCTCGCACACTTAGAAGCCCCATATGGAGCTCAACTGAAAACCCCAGTGGCGGTGTTCGCGTGCGTCCGCCCGCCCCACTCATGTCGGTATACCTCCACACGTTTCGTTGCCCCCTGGGAAACTCCACCGAAGACCTCGGTGGCTGCGTTCGCACGCGCTCACCGCGCCAATTCTGATCATTCCTCGCACGCCTCGTGGCCATATAGGGAGCTCCGCCGAAGACGATGCTCACAACTGCATTACTCACAACTGCTCATGTGAGGGTCCTTCGCCAGGCTAAGTTTACACGCTTCGGGCCCTGGAATCATCACACATCGATCTGGTTCGAAAAACGCAGCAAGAGGTAGTCTCGGGCTGCGGGCGTGATGTTTTACAGCGTTGTGGCTGTTTCGCAGCGTCGGGTCTCAGGCTTCGCCCGGCGAGGGCGGCCGCGGCGCGCCCGGCAGGTGCGGCACGGCGCGCCCGGCTGCAGCCAAAATGGCTGTGCAGGCGCAGGTGGGCCTGGCTGCGACCAGGCATGCCAGAACAAACCCCGGACATCCGGCGTCGCTGCAAAAGCCCGCACGGCAGTGCATGATGAGGACGCACGATGAGGATGCAAGGGCCTTGGATGGCCATGTCTACACTTTGCGAGCGGGGCGCGGCCAGCGAAAGCGACCAAGGACGGGCCGATGTGGAAGGATGCAAGGGTAACCTTGGAATGTTGCTCATCCTTCCTACGCGGGTTGACTGTATTTTCCACCTCGGGGTGCCCTCGCCAGGCTCTGGGACTGCCCAAAAACGACTCAGGACGAAACGTCGGCTCTGGGGAAAGGGTCGGGACTGCCGGGGACCCCGCATGAACAAAATTAAAACATCGGATGACTTAGAGGAACGAAGCATGGCATGAGCATAATTTCTTGGAGCTCCGCGCGGGTTTCTTGGATTCTCGCTGGACCCCCCTCTCCTCCCCCAGCGCGGGTCCAGGAAATTCGCGCAGAGCTCCGAAAATTTATGTTTATGCAGAGCAGCGGAAGTCTGGAAACATGCCAGAGCCAACGCGGGCCGTCACTTGACGGTCCCGAGGCCCGCTGCAGGCCCCGAGAGGCCAAAAACGATGAAAAACCGCCGTCTTGGTCTTGTTCGAGACGCGGGATGTCTGAGTACAGGCCTCGGATTAAATTAGCGAACGTTCATGCCACATTCACCTGTCAACACCCCCCAATGATTCATGTTGGCGGTGGGTTGAATGAGATGCACTCGGACCGCAGTCTGCCCCGCGCGTGCCAACTTTGAATCTGGGGGAGAGGAGGGGAGTGCCCACTTCTTGCTTCCCTCTGCCGTATGCCTGGGAACATGCCCGAGACAACGCGACGCTCGGCGTCGTGGACAAGAGCAGCGGCGGACGGCGTTCCAACCCCCTGCGAGCAGCCTCGGGAGCCCCCCTTTCGGAGCCTGCACTCGGGCCGGCCTGGCGCCGCAGCTCGTGCAGGAAGGGCTGAGGGCTCGGGGCTCGTCGCATGGACCGCCGAGATCCTCGATCCTCCTCCTCTATCCTCCTCCTTCTCGATCGCCTCCTCCTCCTCCTCCTCCTGCACATTTTCTTCCCCCCTCCTCCTTCCCCTCCTCCTCGATCCCCGCCCCGCAGCCCTCGCCGCATCAGGATCTGCTTCTGAGGACGAAAACGAACTGCATGAGCAAAAACCCTCGGAACTCCGCGCTGGACTCCCCCCGACACGAAGGGTTTGTTTCAAATCGTTGTCGGCCTCTCGGGGCCCGCACCGGGCCTCGGGACCGTCAATCGGGTCGGGCGAAAGGGGGGATAGCAAAGGGGGGGTTTGAGAATCAGCTCACGTAGCTGATTTCCCCGGCGCCTCCCGGCGCCGGAGGCGGCCATGTATCGAGGAATGGGCCCCTCGGAGAGGCCGAAACCAGCTGCATGCAGCAAATTTCGTAACCCCCCCTTTCCCAATCCCCCCCTTTCGCCCGACCCGATACACGAAGGGTTTGTTTCAAATCGTTGTCGGCCTCTCGGGGCCCGCACCGGGCCTCGGGACCGTCAAGAGACGGCCCGCGTTCGCTCTGGCATGCTCCCAGGCACCCCATGTCTTTCGGATGAGAAGCTGCATGAGTATACACTTTCGGAGCTCCGCATTGATCTCTTGAATGGATCTGCGCTGCGGGGCCCCCTGGCGGCGCCTGCGGCGCCACCCCAGGAGCGCTCAGCGCGCCAGGGAGGGGGTCCAGCGCGGATCCAAGAAATCCGCGCGAAGTTCCAAAAGCACATGTTCATGCTACTTGTTCGTCTTCGATGCTCGCCCCGTCGGGAATGCTGGACGCCTGCGGTTGTGTTGCCGTCGTGGGCCACTGGGGCCAGAAAGCTTCGATTGCCGTTTCGAATGCACCCACGAGCAAACTCGGGATACTGAGAGCAGGTTCATCTTGCACGTAACCCAGTGGAGAGATTCACGCAGAATCGTCCAGAGTGCAAGAAGTCACTGCTTGGAGTCCACGCTGGCAGGCCGCGACCATCTTGCACGTAGCCCAGTGAGGGATTCACAGAAAATCGTCGAGAGTGCAAGGAGTCACTGCTTGGATTCCACGCTGGCATGCACTGGGATCCGGCCGCTTACGCAGCACCGTCGAGCCAGTGCCATCAGGACGGTGCAGATTGGGAACATTAGGCGGCGAGCTCAGGGGGGAATGAGAAGGAGAAGGCCTTCTCAGAAGGCTCGGAAGTCCCCCGACCTTCTGATCAGTTTTCTAAGCCGTCCGCGAATACACAGAAAACTTCTCAGAAGGCGCGAGGGCTTCCGACAAGTCCCGCCGTCTTCTGAGAAGGCCTTCTCCTTCTCATTTCCCCCCCTCGCTCGCCGACGAAATATGAGCCTGGTCGACCACGTTCATCATCGGATTTGCACCCCACAGCCACAAACTTTCGAAGCTTCTGCTCGACGGGGGCCCCCCTCGGGCGTGGGGGAGCGGTGTGGCAGAGGATCCTCCCTCCCTGCCTGCCTCCCCTGGGGCCTGGGGTTCTCGATCAACAATCTGCCCATGTGCACCAGCAACACCACCGGGCTCGAGATCACCGCGACCGCCATGGCCACCGCGCGTGAGGTGCGCGGCAGGCCGGACCTGTCGCCCACTTCAGCTCGCTCCTCCTGCGCCTGTCTCCCCTCCTCCTCCTCCTTCTCCTCTTCCTCCTTCTCCTGCTCCTCCTTCTCTGCCTCCTCCTCCTCCTCCTCCACCTGCTCCTCCTCCTCCTCCTGCTCCTCCCTCTCCTCCTCACTCTCCTCCTCGCCCTCCTCCTCCTCTTCCTCCTCCTCTTCCTCCTCATTCTCTTCGTCGTCGTCTCCTCATTTCCATTCGCTTCCTTTCCATCGCTGTCCCCTTCCCTTCTGCCGATCTGCCTGGCGTTCTCCACCTCGCCCTGCTGCCCCTCCTCCTTCCGACATGGCGCCGCGGCACGGGGCTCTCAAGAGCTCCCTCACTGCCCGAGGAGGCGCGCCCAGAGGAGCGCCAGGGCAGAGAGGGCCGAGCGGCCCGCGGCCGCTTCGCGCGACGCGGTGTCCAGACGAGCCTGGCCGGACGGCACCGCCGATGGAGACCGAGACCACCACTGGCATCCCCGATGTGTGTGCTTGATGAAGGGAGGAGGCGAGGCGAGGCGAGGCGAGGCGCCAGAGTGCGTCCCGACGGGGGGACGGCGCTGCAAGGGCGCGGCGTGTGGGCCGAGGCCCGGTCAGAGCTGGAGGTCGTTGTGGTAAATAACAAATCTATATTCCAATGCATCCCATTATTTGTAGCAATTCGTAACAATTGATGAAGGGAGGAGGTGGGAGCGGACAACATGTTTCAAACACCTGCGTCGAAACTCGGATGACGCCACGCACCGAAGGCCAGCTTGAAGGACATCGTGGCACGGCATGCGCTCCGCCGATGTGCTTCTCGTCCATGCGCGGCCCCAGAGGTCTCGACTCCTCTCCCGGGGTACGTTTTCGCTTCGAATCCATTATTGATGGCCCGTGGCCCAACAATGGGCCCCAGAGGCCGACGTCGAAGAAAACGCCGGGAGTGAAACAATCATGCCGTCAGAGATCTGGGACGGGTGTCCACCTCGAGTCTAGATGGCGGATTTCGGAAACCCTGAACCCAAAAACGTGTTCATATCTTGGGGACCCATCTTTTACTTCCGCCACCCTCCGCCGCCCTTCCACCGGCTTCCGCCGGCGGAGGCGGCCTCGCTTTACTTCTGCCGCCTTCCACCGACCTTCCGCCGCCTTCCGCCGCGGAAGGGATGCCAACTCCTTCGATCCTCGTAGGCGGAGGCCCTTTCTGGAACGCCTCAGATGAAGAACAGGCTGAATACGCAGAACCTTTCGGAGGTCCGCGCAGATCTCTTGAATCTGCGCTGGGCCCAGCTCCCCGGCGCGCGGAATGCGCCAAGAGCGGCGCCAGAGGGCGTCCCCTGGACGCGCGCCGCCCCTGGCGCGCTCCGCGCGCCAGGAGGGAGCTCCAGCACAGATCCAAGAGATCCGCGCGGAACGCAGAAACATTAGGATTATGCCGCATGCCGTGTTTCCTTCCTCCTATACTGGGGGCCGATCCACAAGAAACCTTCCACAAGAAACCCAACCCTGAGACCCCAGGACGTCCATTGATTTTTGGTGTGGGAACGTCATGCTTTCCATCGCAAAACCATCGAAAACCAAGAAACCCAGGGCACCCTGGAGGTAAGCAGGGTGTTTCTTGGCATGGGTCCCCACTGCAGACCCTGGGTGCCGACTCCGAGACGGCCAATATACGGAGCGCGGACGCGGACGTGGGTGCGCGAGCCCACCCGTTGGCACGCCCGACGTGGGCACGGGAAAAATGGGCACAATGTCCAGCAGCAAATGTTAGGTCGGGCATGTCCCCCTACAGGCGGAATTGGGAGGATAACTAACAATATGCAACACATAATCAAACATGCCCTGATATAGTTTCCCACATCCAAATTGGGTTCTTGTTTTCTCTGCAAGCGCCGCGCAGGATCACCCCCTCTTTTTTCCTCACTCACACACTCACACAGTCGCACATTCATCATCATCACCATCATCACCATCATCATCATCATGAATCAGCCTCACCACTCATCAGCATCCTCATCCTCATCATCGTCACCATCATCACCACTCGATCACTTACTCACTCATCATCATCATCACTCACTCACTCATTCATTCATTCACTCACTCACTCGCCAACCTCATTCACTCACTCACTCACACACTCACCCAATCACTCACCCACTCATCATCACCAGTCACTCACTCATCACTTCGTCATCACTCACCCCCTAGCTTGAATATGGATGAAGTCTCAAGCGGGAGCTTCGTCTGTGAGCGCATTGCGAGGGAGTCTCAGGCGGGAGCCCCCTCCCTATGTGTCCCGCACTTCATGTTGGCAATCCGAGCGGGTCATCCGAAACGTGTAACTGTCGTCACTTGTGGGCTCCTCAGGCCTGAATTTGGGGGAAGTATCAAGCGGGAGCCTCGTATGTGAGTGAACTGCGAGGAAGTCTCAGGCGGGAGCTCCCCCCCTCATGGGGCCCGCGGTTCATATTGGTAATCCGAGCGGGCCATCGGATTCCTGCAACGGTCGTTACTTTTAAGTTCTTCAGGCTTGAGTATGGGCGAAATCTTAAGCGGGAGCCATGCCTGTGAGTGAATGAATGGATTCCGCGGGGGTCTCAGGTGGGAGCCCTCTCCCTATGGGTCACGCACTTCATGTTGGTAATCCGAACGGGTCATCCGAAACGCGTAACTGTCGTCTCTTTTGGGCCCCTCAGGCCTGAATTTGGGGGATGTATCAAGCGGGAACCTCGTTTGTGAATGAATTGAAGGAAATCTCAGGCGGGAGCCCTCCCCTATGAGTCCCGCGTTTCACGTTGGTAATCTTAACGGGTCATCCGAAACGTGTAACGTGTAACTGTCGTCACTTCTGGGCTCCTCGGGCCTGAACTTGGAAGAAGAATCAAGCGGGGGCCTCGTTTGTGAGTGAATTGTGATGAAGTCTCAAGCGGGGGCCCCCTTCCCAAGGGTCCTGCACTTCATGATGGTAATCCGAGCGGGTCATCCGAAACGTGTAACTTCCGTCACTTTTGGGTTCCTCAGGCCTGAACTTGGGGGAATTATCCAGCGGGAGTCTCGCCTGTGTGTGAATTGTGAAGAAGTCTCAGGCGTGAGTTTCCTCCTAATGGGTCCCGCAATTCACGTTGGTAATACGAGCGGGTCATCCGAAACGCGTAACTGTCGTCACTTTCGGGCTGAAACTTAAGCCTCCAGCGGCCTGCGCGGCGACTCTCCGCCATGACGGGTCCCGCACTTCATGTTGGTATTTAATCCGAGCGGGTCATCGGATTCTTGTGACTTTCGTCACTTTTGGGGTTCCTCAACTCCTGCGGCGTGAATACTGGGGAAGGGCTCCTCAGCTCCTGCAGCCAGAAAGCGGGGGAAGTATCAGGCGGGAACTTCGTCTGTGAGCGAAGGTGCGGGTAGCCTTGTCTGAGCTGGTCGTCGGCAAATTTGTTGTTGTCATGGGCCTGCGTGCCCAAGAGGGCGACTGAGGAGCTGACGACGACGACGACGACGAGACAGCGGCCGGGCGCAGGGGTAGCCCATCCTCGGCCGAATCGGGGGCAGGGGTAACCCCTTGTCTCCAGGCCGCCGGTGGTAACCCATCGGCGGCCCGACCAAAGGGAAGGAGAGTAGCGTGCGGAGAAGAAGCAGGGGAAGGACGAGGACGGGGAAAGGGTAGGGAGGGGGTGATGATGAGGAGGAAGTGGAGAAGGAGGAAGAGGAGGAGAAATAGAAGGAGGGGGAGTAGGTGAGGGCAGAACGGCGGGCGAGAGGAGAGTGTCCGTCAGGGCGACCAGGAAAAGAGTAAGGGCAAGCTAAACAGATTCTCATGTGGGGTCCTTCCGCCGGAATTATTTCAAACAAAAAAGTCCCCATAGTTTTTGGGGGTTATTTTTGAAAATTCTTCCTGTAGGGAGACACGCCCAAAAACCAACAGCGGCCTGGCCGCCGTTGGCCACTAGGGGCGTCGTCCGCGGCGGCGCCCCAAAAACAAGCCCGGCTCGAGAGGAGCAGAAACTGCTGCTGGCCTTCGTCCCCACCGTTTCCGCACCAACTTCGGCCCCCAGGACAGGACCAAGAGAGAGAAGCCCCCCTCGTAAAACTGTCCTGGCCTGCTCTGCAACAGCCCTTGCTACACTGGAACACGTCGATTTAGATAATCCGCCGACCCCTTGGGGTCACGGCGTTTGAGATGCTTCCCCCTCCCCAAACCCCTCCCCCGGGGGGGGGCCTGGTCCTGCCGGTTTGGAGGGGGGGGGGGGGGGGGGCAAAACCATCATCCGCACACTTGAAGCCTCAGGAGGCCCCAAAACGGGCCAGAGAGGTTCCATAGGTTCCCGGAACGGTCCAAGAGAGCATCGCCCCAAAACGCCGAAGATTGCCTCCACACGGTTCCATTAGTCCCCAAGTCGTTTGAAACAAGATTACGAGGCGCCCCAAAGAGGCCCTCCAGAAGCAAAAATCGTCTCATTTCCTGGGGGAGGCGTATATTTTCATCACATTCGCCTATTCGGCTTCCACGCGGCGCAAAACGGCCCAAGAAGCCTCCAAGATCGACCCTCGCCAGCCCAAGAGGCTCCCAAGAAGGCTCCAAGACGCCTTCCGGGCGATCCACGAGGGCCCCAGAAACCATAGCAGCGGCTTAGGAAAGTCGCAGGACGGTCCCAAGAGGGCTCCAAAACGGGCCAAGAGGGCTCCCAAAGGCTGTCCGGACGGCCCACGCGGGGAACGATTCGGTCCAAACCGCCCAAGATTTCCTCCAGACAGCCCCATGGGCGTCCAAGACGTTTGCATACGCGACCACGAGGCGCTCCAAGCAGGCCTCCAGAAGCAAAAACCGTCCTTTTCCCGTGGGGAAACGTACATTTTCAGCATATTCGCTTCTTGGGCTTCCGCGAGGCCCACGACGGCCCAGTAAACCTCCAAGATCGCCCTCTGGCACCCCAAGAGACTCTCCAAAAGGCTCCACGACGGCCTCCGGGCGCCCCACGAAGGTCCCAGAAACCATCAGACCACCCCAACCTAACCCGAAGACCCGAGTTTCGGGTTGGGGGGGGGGTACGGGTTCCACACGTGTTTTCTCGATGTTCCTCACCCCCCCACCCCACTGGGAATCGAGGGTAAGTTTGGGCCTTCGGGTTGGGGTGGGGTGGGTTGGTGGGTGGTGACAAGAGACGATTCCATGCAGCGGGCTCGAAAGCATTGGCCTGCAGCCTCGACGCACCTGGGACCGGTCTCCTGCTCGAGACCCCCCCCGCTCGGCGGAGGGAAGCGCCGCGTGCCCCCCCGGGGCACCGCGCCGAAGGCGCGGTGAGCACCCGCCGCTCTCGAGGAGCGAAGGCCGCGCGCCGCGCGAGACCGACGAGGCCACACCGCGGCGCCGCTCGCCCTCCAGAAGGGGGAGCAAGAAGAGGAGGAGGAGGAGGAGGGGGAGGAGGAGGAGGAGGGGGAGGAGGAGGAGGAGGAGGAGGAGGAGGAGGAGGGGAGGAGGAGGGGGGGAGGAGGAGGAGGAGGAGGAGGAGGAGGAGGAGGAGGAGGAGGAGGCGGAGGAGGCGGAGGCTTTCCGCAGTTCTCGGCCCCTGGGTGCCCTCGCCGGGCCCCGGGGCTGCCCAGAACGGATCCCGTCGCATCGCATCGCACCGCATGGGATCGCATCGCAGGTCGCACGCAGAACAGCGCGCGCACAAGTCTGGCAGGCAAAACATTGGGCACGCGTACAAGTCTGGCACAACCCCCAGAGCCCAGGATCGAATCGATAAGTCGGATCTGCAATCGACATGAATCGGATCGGCGGAAATCGGCAGCCGAGTCGGGAAAAGTCGAATCGGCGGACATCGGCAGGCCAGTAGTGCCTCCAATGAGAATCGGATCCCAAATCGGAATCCCAAGTCCAATCGAAGCGGAATCGGAGGCCATGGAAATCGAATCGAATCGAATCGAATCGGAGGAACCGAAACGAGCCCTGGACCCCTGGGGACCCCTCATTGAAAAGGCCTCCTGTAGATGGGGCCCGGGCGGATGAGGCCCGGGGATCGCGCCGCATGGGCGGTGCATCGGCAATGCATCGCCGACATCGGCGACGCAGCGGCTCCGTCGGCGTGGAGAAACGCATCGGGCTCCACTTGGCGGCGCGCAGAAGGGGGTGGGGGGGTTAAGGCGTCTTAGAAGGAGGCTGCTTCTTAGAAGGAGCCGGCCTTGCATCTACAGAGACGGCCCGCACTTTCTAAGAAGCAGGAATGCTTCTACGAAACCTTCCCCCTTCCCCCGCCCCCTCCTTGCGCGCCGCCAGTCCACATCGAGCCGCATCGCATTGCATCGGCGATGCGGTGCGATCCTCCTGACCCACCTGCTAGGACCCCATCAGGGAGGCCTGTCTGCCACGGCAACCCACGGGATCCTCCCACAGCATCTTGCTGGCTCTTGCGAATCGACGCCCATCGACGCTAAATCGACGCCAAATAGACGCGTATCGACGCTCGTCGACGCTGATCGACGTTAGATCGGCACTATCTCATCGACGACCTGACGCTAGTCGACGCCGATGCACTCGAAAGACAGAACTACGAGAGTACGCAAGGCTCCCCCGAATTGCTGCCAAAGGAAGGCCTAGAGTTAGGTCGGGCATGTCCCCCCACAGGCGGATTTTGGACGAAAAGCAGACGATAGTCAAACATATTCGAAAATACTCCAAACTGGTCAAACAAATTGTCTTCCAACTATGTTTGGACTATGTTTGGATTTTCCCCCCGTAGAGAGGGACAGGCCCGACTCGAGCCTGGAGCGTGGAAAATCTTTCGGCACCGGCTGCCTGGGTCGTGACGCTGGCCCAGGTGGCGATGTGCCTGCCGCAGTGGCGCGGGCGGCACGCGGGGCGCTGCGAGTGCCGGGCGGCGCAGGGGACCGCGCCTCGGTCGGGCACGTCCTCCCGCGGGCGATATCTTGCGCGAGAGTGGCAAAACGCCAACACAATGCCCCCCCCACATGGGCAAACCATGATATTTTCAAAAAGTCTGAAAAAGAAGAAGAATCGCCCCCGGGCTCGTCTTGGACTCCTTTCGGAGCCTCCTCCTGCAGAGGGGCGTGCCCGACTTCGTGGGAGTGCCGGGCGGCGCCGGGGACCGCGCACAGCCGGCGGGCGCACACCGCACCCCGACCTCCGGGCGCCCCAGGGGGCTGCGCGGCTGGCGCCATGCCGCGCGCCCCCGCCGCGCCTCCTCGAGGGCTTCGTCGTCGTCCTCCCCCCCCCCTCTCTCCCGCCTCTCCCGCCAGCCCCCCGCGCCTCCTCGAGGACCTTCTCGTCGTCCTCGTCCTCCTCTTCGTCCTCCTTCATCCTGCCTGGGATCGGGGAGGGCTTTCGACAGTTTGCGGTCCAGGTGGTGGACGCTCGCGCCGGGGTGGGATAAGCATAAGCAGCTACCCGCCTGACGGGGGTGCCCTGTCACGTCAAGCTCTCCGCGCTCACACGAGCGGCCGTGCAGAGGTGGCAAAGAGTGCGATCAGGGTGGCGATCCGTCATTCCATCCTCTGGTTCACAGCCGCTTCTCCAGAATCCCGTCCGAATGCTGAAAGGAGTTCACCTGATCCTTAATCCGTCTTGACAGCGGCCTCGCGATCATGGCATGTGTTGAGGCGCGCCCCGTTCCCTTATATCCGAGGTCTTGAGCTTCTCAATGCGAGGCCCCTGGACCTTTTCCCCTGGACCAATCTGTTTGGCCCGAATCATTTGTTGACTTTCCCAGGGCCTGGCGAGGGCCACCAGAGGCCGAAAGCTGCGAAAACCTTCCACCCTGAGTCCGTCTACACATTGGAGGTCTGGGTTTGTCGCACACGTCGTTAATTTCTAATCGTGCTCATTTCTAATTGCGCTCGTTTCTACTCGTTCCTGGCCCCCTAGTGGCCAGGAAGAGGCCCAGGATAGAACAATTAGAAATGAAAGGATCTTGGCCCCCCCAAAAATCAAAGAACATTCGAAGAATTAGAAATGAACGTTGTCGTAGGCAGAACAGTCCGATCACAACTGGTTGTGATCGGTCCCTTCTGGTCGCCGCTCGGCCCCCTTGCGTTTGCGATCTGATCGCGCGTGCTCGCGGCCGCGGTCGCGCTCGCGGCGCGATCATGGGCTGCCGCACGCGCCTGCCTCGGGGCCGAGGCCTCCGCGCACGCATGCACCTGCTGCAGCGTGCGGCAACGCTGCGGTCAGGACGACGATGCTGCCGTGAAGCGACTGGCTCGGGATGTGCTCCGTGAGCTCCAGAGCATCTCGCGGCCCTCGTCTCCGGAGCCGGCGCGGGAACAAGGGCACCTACCTTCGCGCTGCGCGCTGCGCGAAGCGCTAATGACTTCGCGCTCTCGCGCCGCCCCGCTGGGGAGAAGAGGATGAGGAATCGGAGCCGAACCGAGAAGCGCGAACAACTTCGCGCCCTCGATGGCGCCCTCGGGACAACTTGTTTGTCGCAGCGCTGGCGCTCGCACAGCGTGGGTCGGCCGAGGACGAGGTGCGCGATGGTGAGTGAGCACCGGAACAGGGGGGAGAGAGGCGGAAGGCGGCGGCGGAGGGAGGGAACAACTGGAACGCCCTGAAAAACCCGGGAATGTACAGTCGAGCAGCTCAACAAGGGCGCACGACAAGGATGCAAGGGCCATTGGAAGACCATGCCGACACTCTGCGGGCGGGGCGCGGCCAGCGAGAGCGGCCAGGGATGGGCCGAAGGGAAAGGATGCAAGGGTGACGTTGGAAAGCTGCTCATCCTTGCTATGCGGCATCACTGTACCATTCTCGCGACATCTTGCTTAGGAGACCACATTAATGCGAGCCCACCCCAGCACCCCACGATTTCTAAGGGGGGCGGTGGGGTTCACTTCGTTCGGGACCTCCCGAGCGAAGTGAACCCACCTTCCCCCTTACAAATCGTGGGGTAGTGGGGTAGGGTTCGCATGTGGCCTCCTCTTGCTCCTCCCCTGATTGGTGGCCCAGTGTCTGGGCACCTCGACTGGCACGGCAGCCGGGGGGGGGGGGGGGGAGGCGCGGCAGGCCGCTTGCGGGGAAGCCGCTCCCTCCAGCGGGTTTCTCCTGCGCCGCGGGATCTTGCAGGTTCGCATGACCCCGGCGGCCGAAGCCCCGATATGGGGAATCCGAAATAAGGAACGAGCGTGATTTTCCCGGTCTGCATGTTCCGCAAAGCCAGGGGACATAAGGAGACGAGCGCCCCAGGAAAACGCAGCAACCTCCGAACCATAAGCCCTGGCAAGGGGAAGCCGAGATAAGGAACGAGCGTGCTTCTCCTCGCTGTCATGTTCCCCGAAGTCAGGTCGAGATTTCCTGCTGGGGGCCCGAGGAGACGAGAGCCCCTGGAAAACGCAACAGCCTTCGAACCATAAATGTTCTCTCTCTCGGCGGTCCAACTTCAGATGCCGTGGAGGCCAGTCCACAAGAAACCTTCCACAAGAAACCCAACCCTGAGGCACCGGGACGTCCATTGATTTTTGGTGTGGGAACGTCACGCCTTCCAAAGAAAAACCATCGAAGCCCATCCAGGGCACCCTGGAGGCAAGCATGGTGGTGCTTGGCATGGGTCTCCACTGTACCACGGGTCCCCCGTCTGTTCCTCGTGCCCCCGCAATCCCTCGGACCTGAGCATCGCCGAGCCCATCGGCATGATCACAAGGATCGGCAGGGGCAAGAAATCCGCCAGCTCCGCTCCGAGGACGGGAGGGCGGCATCAGCGGGGGCGGGTGGACGACGATCACGGAAAGGAGGGGGGAAGCGTACGTATCAGTGGGACGAAAAGAACGAGGGGGAGGAGAAGGCGGGGGAGGAGGGGAACGGGAAGGGAAGAGGAGGGAGAGGGGGATTAGAAAGACGGAGAACACGAAGATGCTGATGCTGTTGCTGGAGATTCGCCACCGTGCCCCTGTGGCAAGAAGTGGAGAGTCCCCGGGTCCCTTGTTCAACCCCTGAGCCTCCAGTCCTCCATCCGGAAGATTGTTGAAAGGGCCTGGACCCCTAGCTCTCAAATCTCTCGGGGCTTGCCGCGTTCCTCCTGGGGCTCGTCGCGTCCTGTCGCGTGACTTTTTCTGGCTTAGGAGGGCCCCACGGGCCAAGAAGGCCCCAAGAGGTCTCCGAGACGGTGAAAGAGGGCCCCGAATCACCGAACAATCGGTCCAATACGCCCAAGACGTGCCAAGAGGCCTTCAAGAGCCTTCCCAAGAAGGCCCCGAGATGCCAAACTCATGTACTGCCCGCTACGGTTGTTCAATGTTGTTGGGGTTCTCCACTTTTCGAACTTCCGACGCCTCAAGGTGTCCCAAGCCCCCAAGACCGCCCCAATACGGCCCCAGAGCCCCCGAGAGAACCCCAAGACGGCCCAAGAGGGCCCCAGCGCGGCCCAAAAGGCGCCCAAGACGGCCCACGAGGCGCTCAAGGAGGGGAACGAACCGAAAATCCCAGCCTCCCGCCCCAATGAACACCCAGGAGGCCCAAAAACCACCAAGAGGCCCCAAGAGCCCCCACAAAGGTCCCCACGAGGCCCCAAGAGGGCCCCAGGAGGCTCAAACGAGGCCCCAAAACAGCCCCACATTGGCTTCAAAACTGCCTCCAGGAGGCCACCGAGAGGCCTCGACGACATCCCAACGAACACCCAAGATAGGGGACCGAACTCTGTACACCGACGCTTCTTTTGGCCCTGCGCGGAAATCTGCACAGGAAAACAGATCCTGGTGTATACGGGACCCTGGTATATACATGCTTCGTTGTTTCCCCGGGAAGCGAATAACAACATATACACCACACTAACCCGACGCCGTCCCTGACTCTCAGAAAAGTCCTGGGATTGAAACAGAGCCCACAGATGGTAATGTATATGTTCTTGTTTCCTACAAGAGGCCTCAGACCCCCAACACGACACGGTGGCGGGATGGGCCGATGTCCATAAGATCCGCCGCCCCCTGTCGATTCATCGCAGGGGTGCCTGGCGTGCCTGACCCTCTCGGTTTTGGTTTTGGTTCTTTTCCCAAAAGGACTCCCCCTGGCGCTTCGGCCCGTCCCGCCGGGGTCCCGGGAGGCCCTTCCAGGACCGCAAAGTCCAGAAAAAATCCTCCGGGACTGCTCAAGATGGCGTCCAAGATGGCCAAGATGGCCCAAGATTGCCTCCAAGATGGTCCAAGATGGCCTCCAAGTCCGCCCAAGATGGTCCAAGACGGCCTCCAAGACGGCCCAAGAGAAGGTCGCCCAAGAAGCCTCCAAGAAGGCCCAAGACGACCCAAGAGGCCTCCAAGAGGTCCTCCAGGAGGGCCCGAAGAGGCCAAAATCAGTGATCTGTCGTAGGTTTTTGAAGGATTATGGCATTTGCTTCTTCTCGGCTTTCTGACGGCTCAAGACGGCCCAAGGGGCCCCCAAGATCGCCCAAGAGGCCCCCAAGAGGGCCCCATGACGGCCCAAGTGGCCTCCAAGACGGCCCCAAGGGAGCCCCAAGACGGCCCTAGAAGCATCCAACACACCCAAGATGGCCTCCAAGACGCCCAAGACGGCCTCCAAGACGGCCCCGAAGCGCCCCAAGAAGGCCCCAAGTCGGCCCAGAAAGGCCCCAAGACGGCTCCCGACGGCGTCAGACGTGCCAGGAACCCACCAAGATGGCCGAAGTTGGCTCGGAACTGGCCCAAAACTGCCCAAGAGGCGCCCAAGACGGCCTCCAGGAAGGCCACAAGTGGCCAAAAACATTGTTATTCCTTAGGTTTTTGACGGATTTTGGCATTTGCTTCTTTTCGGCCTTCCGACGGCCCGAGACTGCCCAAGAGCCCCCAAAGATCGCCGAATGATCGCCCAAGGGGCATCCAAGATGGCCCCAGAACGGCCCAAGAGGGCCCCAAGACTGCCCCAAGACTGCCCCAAGAGGCCGCCAAGACGGCCCAAGAGGCCTCCAACACGCCCAAGATGGCCTCCAAGACGGCCCTGGAGCATTCCAAGAGGGCCCCAAGTCGGCCCATAGAGGCCCCCCAAACGGCTTCCGACGGCGTCAGACGGACCAGGAACCCACCAAGATGGCCGAAGTTGGCTCGAAGCTGGCCCAAGACGGCCCAAGAGGCCTCCAAGATGGCCTCCAGGAAGGCCAGAAGATGCCAAAATCATTGATTTCCCATGGGTTGTTGGAGGATTGTGGCAAGAACTTCGTTTCTGCCTTAAGACGGCCCGAGACGGCCCAAGTGCCCCGAAAGATCGCCCAAGAGGCCCAAGACACGGCCCGAAGAGGTCTCCAAGACGCTCAGGATACGGCCCAAGAGCCCTCCAAGACGTCCTCCAAGAAACCCCGACAGGGTCAAAATAGCCTCCAGACGGCCAAGGTGACCTTCAAGATGCCCACGTGTTCCCCGAAGGCTTTCCAAACCGATTCGGGGAACACATGGTCCGATGGCTTGGCAGGTCTGGCCTCAACGTTCGGCCACATAGGCGCTTCCAAAAAGGCAGGGGGCGGCGGTGATTCGCCGTAGGCGTCTTCAATCCGCCGCCCCCTGTCGATTCATCGCAAGGGCGCCTGGCGTGCTTGACCCGTTCGGTTTTGGTTTTGGCTCTTTTTCCAAAAGATCTCTCCCAATGGGTTTCGGCCCGTCCCGCCACCGTGCCGCTCGCTCGGGGCATCCTCAAAACATCGCGAAGATGGCCCAATTCGCTCGGGACATCCTCAACAAATCTCTTCCAGGAGCGCAAACTCCACGAAACATCCTCCCTGAAACGGCCGTTTCGCTCGGGACATCCTCAACACATCGCGAAGATGACACAAGATGGCCTCCAAGTCCGCCTAAGATGGTCCAAGACGGCCCAAGAGAGTCCAAGACGGCCCAAGACTGCCCAAGAGGCCCCCCAGAGGCCTCCCAGACGGCCCAAGAGGCCTCCAAGAGGTCCTCCAGGAGGGGCGCAGAGGCCGAAATCATTGATGTTCCTTGGGTTGTTGAAGGATTTTGGAAGTTGCTTTTTCTCGGCTTCCCGACTGCTCAAGACGGCCTAGGCCCCCAAGATCGCCCAAGAGGCCCCCAAGAGGGCCCCATGACGGCCCAAGTGGCATCCAAGACGGCCCCAAGAGGGCCCAAGAGTGGCCTCCAAGACGGCCCCAAGGCGGCCCCATGACGGCCAAGATGACTTTCAAGATGCCCACGTGTTCCCCGAAGGTTTTCCAACCCGATTCGGGGAACACATTGTCCGATAGCGTGGCAGGTCTGGCCTCAACGTTCGGCCACACAGGCGCTTCCAACAAGGCAGGGGGCGGCGGTGATTCGCCGTAGGCGTCTTCGATATTGTAAATGCTGCCGCTGAGGAACATGATGAGGATGATGATGATGCTGCTGATGATGATGATGACGACGAGGACGACGACGCTGATGCTGCTGCAGCTGCAGCTGCAGCTGATGCTGTTGCTGATGCTGATTATGATGCTGATGCTGATGTTGCTGGTGCTGCTGCTGGTGATGCTGCTCCTGTTGCCGCTGCTGCTGCCGATGATGATGACGACGATGATTATGACTGTGATGATGACTATGATCATGATGATGATGGTGCGAATGGCGATGATGGAGATCATGATGATGGATCTGGTGAGGATGATGGTCATGATGAGGTTCATGATGATGTTGGCGATGATGAGGCTGATGATGGTGATGGTGATGGTGATGATGATGATGATGATGCTGATGATGATGATGATGATGATGATGATGATGATGATGCTGATGATGATGATGATGATGATGATGCTCATGATGAAGACGCCTACGGCGAATCACCGCCGCCCCCTGCCTTGTTGGAAGCGTCTATGTGGCCGAACGTTGAGGCCAGACCTGCCAAGCTGTCGGACAATGTGTTCCCCGAATCGGGTTGGAAAACCTTCGGGGAGAACGTGGGCATCTTGAAAGTCATCTTGGCCGTCATGGGGCCGCCTTGGGGCCGTCTTGGAGGCCACTCGTGGGCCCTCTTGGGGCCGTCTTGGAAGCTACTTGGGCCATCATGGGGCCCTCTTGGGGGCCTCTTGGGCGATCTTGGGGGCCTCTTGGGCCGTCTTGAGCAGTCGGAAAGCCGAGAAGAAGCAAATTCCAAAATCCTTCAAGAACCTACGACAGATCAATGATTTCGGCCCCCGCGGGCCCTCCTGGAGCACCTCTTGGGGGCCTCTTGGGCCGTCTGGGGGGCCTCTGGGGGCATCTTGGGCCGTCTTGGGCCGTATTGGACGCCCTTGGGCCGTCTTTGAGGCCGTCTTGGACCATCTTGGGCGGACGTGGAAACCATCTTGGGTCATCCTCGCGATGTGTTGGGGATGTCCCGAGCGAAACGGCCGTTTCAGAGAGGATGTTTCGTGGAACTTGCGCTCCTGGAAGAGATTTGTCGAGGATGTCCCGAACGAAGTGGGCCATCTTCGCGATGCTTTGAGGATGTCCCGAGCGAGCGGCACGGTGGCGGGACGGGCCGAAACCCACTGGGAGAGTTCTTTTGGAACAGAACCAAAACCAAAACCGAAATTGTCAAGCACGCCAGGCACCCCTGCGATGAATCGACAGGGGGCGGCGGAGTGTAAATGTTGCCGCTGAGGAGCATGATGATGATGATGACGACGACGACGACGACGCTGATGCTGCTGCAGCTGCAGCTGCAGCTGATGCGGTTGCTGATGCTGATTATGGTGCTGATGCTGATGCTGCTGGTGCTGCTGCTGGTGATGCTGCTGCTGCCGCTGCTGCTGCCGATGATGATGACGACGATGATTATGATCGTGATGATGACTATGATCATGATGCTGATGGTGATGATGACGATGATGGAGATCATGATGATGGATATGGTGAGGACGATGGTCATGATGAGGTCCATGATGATGGCGATGATGAGGCTGATGATGGTGATGATGATGCTGGCGATGGTGCTAACGATAATGATGATGAAGGTCATGTTGCTGGCAATTATGATGATAAGGAGGAGGACGATGATGCTGATGTTGAGGATGATGGCAATGATGATGATGATGCTGCTGATGATGCTGATTAGGATGATGATGTTGAGGATGAGGATGATAATGCTGTTGACGCTACTGTTGATGGTGATGATCATGATGATGATGTTGATTGTGCTGTTGTTGATGCAGCTGATGGTACTGCTGGTGATGGCGATGATGGTGCTAATGCTGATGTGAATGCTGCTGCTGATTATGATGATGCTGATAATGATGAGAAGGATGATGACGATGACGATGACGATGACGATGATGATGATGATGATGGTGCTGCTGCTGCTGATGCTGCTGATCCTGCTACTGATGCTGATGCTGATGATGATGATGATGACGATGCGGCTGCTGCTGCTGATGCTGATGAGGATGCTGATGCTGATGCGGATAGGATGAGGACGATGAGAATGATGATCATTATGATGATGATTATGATGATGCTGCTGCTGATGATCATGATGATGATGTTGCTGCTGATGATGATGACGATGATGATGATGATGATTATGATGATGATGATGATGACGATGATGAGTGAGGCGAGCGAGGATCCCGTCCGTGGTGCACCCTGCGCATACCCCGACGAGGAGGAGGAGAAAGAGGAGGAGGGAGGAGGAGGAGAAGGAGGACGAGGAGGACAAGGAGGACGAGGAGGAGCGAAAGATATGTCGGGCGCCGCAGAGGCCGCTCAGCGCATAGGGCCCGCCCGCCCTTCTGGTCAATCGGCGGACTGAGGGGTCAGAAGGCAGCCCAGAGAACAAATCTCAGAGCCGGGGCAGGCTTGTCAAACGAGGGAAAAAGGGGGACCTCTCTTGCTGCACCCCCCTCTTCCCTCACCTCCTTCTCGCCCTTCGCTTCTCGTGCTCCTGATCCTCCCCCTCATCCGTCGAGTCGCCTCGTGCTTCTGATCCTCGTCCTCCTCCTCCTCTGCCACAGAACGCTGGGAGGAGGAGAAGGGAGGAGGAAGAATCAGGAGGAGGGGAAGGGAGGCAGCGTAAGCCGTTTTAGCTGGCTGAAGGGGGGGGGGGCTCCAGGGGCGCTCTAGAGGCTGTTGAGGAGGAGGAGGAGGCGGAGGAGGAGGAGGGATGCAACGTTCAGGAGAACTGTCATGCCACGAGGTTCCAGGTTCCAGGAGGAGGAGGAGAAGGAGGAGGAGGAGTTAAGGTACCCTGAGAAGGATGAGGAAGAGGAGGAGGGGGACAACAGCCTATTCCACAGTCCTCCTAGGCTTTCCTGTCAATGGGCAAGATCCCAGCAACCCCCAATCGAATTGCCGCGTGGAGAATGCGCTGAGGGCGCAATCTCCTCGGAGGGTGCCGGCTGGTAGTCCAAGCCCCGTGATGCTATGCCCATCCTCGAACACGAAGTACGAAACTAGGAGTCGCTAGAGGCGGCATGTCGGGATGCGTATCTAGCGCTTGCGCCTCTCTCCTGCTTCTTCCGCCAACGTGCAGCCGCTGTGGTGCACCATTCTCCCGCCTCCTCTCTCTTAGCCTGCTGTCGCTGCGGCGCGCGCAGTTCAAGCTTCCAAAATCACTGTGACTATTTGGCCCATCCCCGCTCAGCGTCCAGGGACAGTCGCGATCTGTAAGCACTGGGCTCTCACGCCAAGCCTTCTCGATCGATTCGCCTGGGGGGGCCTTGGCAGGGGGCCCTGGGCGAATCCAACGACAAGGCCGCGCTTTCAACGGCGACCCGAGCCCTCGCTCCGCACCTCCTCCTCCTCTTCCCCCTCCTTCTCCTCCTCCTCCTCCTCCTCCTCCTTCTCCTCCTCGTTGACGGTTCGGTCTCGCCCTTGGCGGATCGGCCCGAGGCCTGTCGGATATGGCAGCGCCAGTTGCCCAAAGACGCACCACATGCAGCAAATCGCCTCGATCGCCGACAGCTCCGTCACGAGGGTGGCGATCCGCCGCTGGTCGGCCGTGAACAGGCCGCGCAAGCAGCCGTCCGGCGCGAGGCGGCCGCGCCTCGGCTGCCCGTGGCGCTGGGCTCCCGGGGGGGCAGCCCGGCTTCACTCCAAGACCCCTCGCGCTGTGGAAAAATTGCCCCAAAGAAAAACCCCAAACAGTGGATGGTTTTCTCAAAGGAGATCGACCGGGACCCCAGGAGCCCGGAAACCCAAAGCACCGAAATCGGCCCGGAACCAAGAACCCGGGAACCCGGGAGCCCAGAACCAGGAACCCAAGAACCCAGCCTGCTACCAAAATCGGCGGGAAACTTTCGCCAAATCTTGCAACTTCCGCTAGGAACCCTTCAGTGCAAGCACTGATTAGGGAATCACGACTGGAGGTTTCTTGTTATCTTCGGCCGTTCGGGGCCCTCGCCAGCCCTCGGGACCGTCAACAACCGAGTCGGGACGAAAAACCGGTCTGGGGGGAAGGGATCCAGACCTCTGGGAGTCGACGTTATGAAAAAAAACATGACGTCGGGGGCCTGGGCTTGCAGAAAACCAATCTCGACTGTCCTACGGTCGGGCTGCGGACAGAAGGGACGAATCAGTAATGGGTGGCGCGCACAGGGGGCTAGGGGGAGGGGGGACGGCTCCTAGTAGTAGTAGTAGTAGTAGTAGTAGTAGTAGTAGTAGTAGTAGTAGTAGTAGTAGTAGTAGTAGTAGTAGTAGTAATAGTAGTAGTAGTAGTAGTAGTAGTAGTAGTAGTAGTAGTAGTAGTGGTAGTGGTAGTTGTAATACTAGTAATAGTCGTAGTAGCCGTGGTAATAGTAGTAGTAGTAGTAGACGTTGTGAGAAAAACCGTAGTAACGGTAGTAATAGTACTAGTCGTAACAATAGTACTAGGCGTAGTCGTAGTAGTTGTAGTAGTTGTAGTAGTGGTAGTCGTAGTAGTAGTAGTAGTAGTAGTAGTAGTAGTAGTAGAAGTAGTAGTAGTAGTAGTAGTAGTAGTAGTAGCAATATTAGTAGTAGTAGTAGTAGTAGTAGTAGTAGTAGTAATACTAGTTGCCGTCGTAGTAGTGGGAGTAATAGTAGCAACAATCATAGAATGGCTAGGTGTTAGTGTTATTGTTAATGCTATTGTTCGTATAATTGTTAGCAGTAGTATATCTTATAATGGTCGTAGAAGTAACACAATAAAAATAATAATCGTAGTGGTAGTAGTAAAACGAGTGGTACTAGTAGTAGTACTACTCATATGTGTAGTGGAAGTAGTCGAAGACGTTACAGTAGTAATAGTAGTGGTAGTAGTATTAGAACTGATGGTATTAGTAATAATATTTATAATCGTACTACTCGCCGTACTTTAGTAGTAGTAGTAGTAGTGGTGGTAGTAGTAGTAGTAGTAGTAGTAGCAGTCGTAGTCGTAGTAGTAGTAGTAGTAGTAGTAGTAGTAGTAGTAGTGTAGTAGTAGTAGTAGTAGTAGTTAGTCGTAGTAGTAGAAGTAGTAGTAGTAGTAGTAGTAGTAGTAGTAGGGTCACCCGTCGTCTATAGTAGTAGTCGTAGTCGTAGTCGTAGTCGTAGTCGTGGTAGTAGTAGTAGTAGTAGTAGTAGTAGTAGTAGTAGTAGTAGTAGTAGTAGTAGTAGTAGTAGTGGTGGTGGTGGTGGTGGTGGTGGTGGTGGTGGTGGTGGTGGTGGTGGTAGTAGGGTCACCCGTCGTCTATGGCCGGCCGGTTTATGGCCGGTAGTTTGGTTGGGTTTCTATACAAGTGTACGAAAACCCGATATAAGCTACGCGTCCTTCGCACTTGACTTATGGCGGTCACGCTGTGAGGTATCCTAAGGAATTCTCGAGGAATCTTCAGGAATCCTCCCGGAAACCTGAGGAATTCCCCCGGAATCCTACGGAATTCTCAAGGAATCCTACGGAATTCCTTAGGAATCCCGAGGAATTCATTTGGAATTTCAAGGAATCCCTGAGGAGTCCTGAGGGATTGTCAAGGAATCCTAAGGGAAATCTTTGGAAGGCTCCAGGAATCTGAAGGAATCCCCGACGAATCCTAAGGAATCCTTGAGATTCCATAGGAATTCTTCAGGAATCCCAAGGAATTCGCAAGGATTCCTAAGGAATTCTACAAGAATCCTCAGGAAGCCTCCAGGAATCCTAAGGAAGTCTCAAGGAATCCTGAGGAAGTCTCCAGGAATCCTTGGATTCCAATGGGAAACTGATTAAAACCATTGGTTCCCAATAGAAAACTAACCAAAACTATTGGTTTCCAACAGGAAACTAATGAAAACAATTGGCTTCAAATAGGAAACAAATAAAAACCATTGGTTCCCAATGGAGAACTAATAGAAACAATTGCTTTCCAATAGAGAACTAATTGAAACCATTGGTTTCGAATAGAAAACTAATTGAAACCATTGCCCCCCAATAGAAAACTACTAACAACCATTGGTTTCCAATAGAAAACTAATTTAAAATAATTGGTTCCCAATAGAAAGCTAACAAAAAGCCATTGGTTCCCTATAGAAAACTAATAAAAACCATTAGTCCCCAATCGAATACTAACTAGAACCATTGGTTCCCAGTAGAAAACTAAGTAAAACCATAGGTGTTCAATAGAAAACGAAGCCAAACCATTGGTTTTCAATAGAAAACTACTTAAAACAATCGGTTTCCAATAGGAAACAAAAAAAACACACACCCAAACCCAAACCAAAACCCAAACCCAAACCCAAACCTCACCGGCCATAAGTCAGGTGTGACCCTCGTAGTAGTAGTAGTAGTAGTAGTAGTAGTAGTAGTAGTAGTAGTAGTAGTAGTAGTAGTAGTAGTGGTCGTAGTAGTAGTAGTAGTAGTAGTAGTAGTAGTAGTAGTAGTAGTAGTGGTAGTAGTAGTAGTAGTAGTAGTAGTAGTAGCTGATGTTGTAATCGTAGTAGTAAGTCGCAGTCCAATCGTCATAGAGTAAAAATAGCAACAGCAGAAGCCATGACAGCAGTCGTACTCGTAGTTGTGGTACTCGCCGTAATGGTGGTCGCACTTGTAGTAGTGAGTACCCGCGCAGGCTGAACACGTTTGGCAACAGACCTGGAACTGGTCAAACAACGTGGCGTATCACCACAACTGCCGTATCAAATTGTTGTTTTGAGACTTGGAAGCGCGGGGGCCAGCGAATTCCAATATGCCAACCTGACAGCGGACGCCAAAAACGCCCAGGGCGCGTACAGCTTGAATCAAGCCTGGGTGCCTCCTCTCTCTCCGCGGCGTGCGAGGTCCGCGCCAAGGCTCGTGCGAGGCCCGCGAACGGGGGCGTTGCCGAGGGCGGCGCGGGGAGAGCGCGGGGCTCGAGGAGAAGCAGAAGCCTCCCCGAAACTGGAAGAGCGGGCCGGTGGGGGGCGGTGCTGAGGGCGGCGCGGAGAAGCGCGGAGTTCGAGGGGCAGGGGAGCAGGAGTCCTCAGGACCGGCACGAGAAGGCTCCTGAGGAGGTTCTGCTCCTTCTAATTCGGAGGAGGAGTAATTCGAGGAGGATGAAGAGGAGGAGGATCTTCGAAGGAGGAGGATCTTCGAAGGAGGAGAAAGAAGAAGAGGAGGATGAGCAGGAGGAGGGCCAGTGTAAACCCAAGACTCATCAACGACGTTTGTAATCCACCCTCCCTCCGAGCTCCCTCTTCACGGGAAGAGCTAAATATATATACACATACATACGTATGGCGAAAAAGGAATGCAGAAGGGGGAGGCGTCTCCAGTGCCAGCCTCGGCAAGGGTCCCGCGTCCCGCCCAGTGCGTCCCCCGGGGGCAGCGGCCAGCTCCGGGCTCCTGGTGTTGCGGCCTGTCCCACCCCCAGTTCTCCTTTCGGTGGTTCAAAGATGTCCTGAGGGATGGGGTCCCAACGACGAGGTGCCTCGAACAAAATAAATCCATCATTCGATCTATCCCCAATCTTAGGTTCATGTTGCCATGTTGCTCCCATCGTACTTAAGGACCACATCCCGGAAATAATTTCGAACACCCAGACAAGTATCGAATCAGTATCGAACGAGTACCGCCTCCCAGGGCCCGACACGTGAAAACCCTCCAGTTTCGGTACCTTCTAGGTGCACGAATTTCTTTCTCGTGGTCAAGGCTAAGGTAGGGTGGAACATCAGGAACTTAGGTCCCCATCCATCAGAACCCCATAGTTGAACCACCGATCCTATACTCCCTCCCTTTGCGGGAGCTGCGGCGCCGTCAGGGGTGAGGCTACCCGCGGCATTTTGATCCTCCTTTTCTGCCAAGCAGAGCGCCGGCGGAGAAGGGGGACCAAGGCGAGGCCCATGGTGCTCGGCGAAAGCCTCATACCTGACAGCGTGAGCGTTGGCCTCCAAGCTGCTTCCAACCGACTGCGGGAAAGTGCGGGGATGTGGGGGTCGATGGGCAGGGCTATGGGGTGGCATGCTCAGGGGGGGAAGCATCGAGCTGGAATCTGCCATACATCGCCAGCGGATCGGACATGGCCCCCGACAGTGAAACCGCGCGCTCCTGGATTGGGTGGGCCATCGGGCTCATAGAGGCGATCATCTGGGCGATTGGGGGTCGATGCGTGCTTCTGCGACATCTCACGAGAGCCTCCCGTGCCATCTTGCTGGCTCTTACGATTCGGCGCCAGTGGATGCTAGCTGACGCGGAACCGACGACAATCGACGCCGAATCGGCGGTATCTCATCGATTACCAAACGCTAGTTGACGCCACTGCACTCCAAAGACGGAATCGCGAAGGTACGTGAGGCTCCCATTACGTGCTACAGAACCCCCTCTGGGCCTGTTCCCCCCACCCGCTCGACTGAAGGGGCCCAGGGACACCCAAATCCGCCGACCCTGTCGGCGTGTGTGAGGGGTTTCTCCGTTCGCGTCGTGCTATCTGTCCTGCTCGACTTTCTCAAGCCGCATCCAGCTTCCACTCACCGTTCTCCCGCTCTCCGTCAGCAGAGTCCTCTTCCTCGCACATGCCGTGCCAAGCATTTGATTGAACGTCGTCAATACTTCGAAGTGAAGCCCCTTCCCTTTTCCCTTCCCCGGTGCGGGGGGGGGTTGGGAGCCGGACCCTAGGTGGTCCCGGGGGGGTATCGGGGGGGTCCTGGGGGGGCCCGGGCCCCCCCCCCACCAGATCCAACTCCCCTGTCAGTCTTCGAGAAAGCCCGGAGGGCGTCGCGAGGAGGTTCTCGTCCTCTTCCACCTCCTCCTCCTCCTCCTCCTCTTCCTCCTCCTCCTCCTGCTCCTCCTCCTCCTCCTCCTCCTATTCCTCCTCCTCCTCCTCCTGCTCCTCCTCCTCCTCCTCCTCCTCCTCCTCCTCCTCCCTCCTCCTCCTCCTCCTCGTCCTCGTGCTCGTCCCTGTCCTCCTCCTCCTCCTCCTCGTCCTCCTCCTCTTCCTCCTCCTCCTCCTCCTCCTTCGCTTCCTCCTCCCCCTCCTAGCCCCTTCGAGCAGGGTCGGCGGCACTGGCCGTCAGGCCTCTCCAATAAACAAACACAAATCCCAGGATCCGGTATATTTTCCCATCTGTTCTGGACTGTCGTCCTCCTCTCCACTTCCTATACGTTCCATGGGTTCCTGAGGATTGACGATCCTTTGTGTCTGTGTGTTTCTGTCGCTCCTGACGAACGTTGCCCCTGGAAGGGGGGGGGGGGGGGGGCGCAGGGGCGGGGGGTCGGCAGGAGCAGCAGGCGAGGGAGAGCCACCGCCGGGCGGGAAGGTCCAGGCGTCCGGGGGCGTGCGGATGTCTGGTCTTCGCTGCGTCTGCATCTTACAGCCAGCCTGTATGATTCCCGGACTGCTCCTTTCGGGCCGGGCGAAAAGGGGGGGATAGCAAAGGAGGGGGGGGGTGAGAATCAGCTCACGCAGCTGATTTTCCCGGCGCCTCCTGGCGCCGGAGGCGGCCATGTATCGAGTAATGGGCCCCTCGGTGGGGCTGAAACCGGCTGCATGCAGCAGATTTCGTACCCCCCCCTTTCCCTATCCCCCCCTTTCGTCTGGCCCGATCCTGGTGGGAGCTAAAAAAGGCTGTTAGAGAATAGGCCAGCAGGCAGGGCTGCGCCAGCTTCCTCTCCGCGGCTCCTGGGCAGGCATCCTCGCATCGCCTTGCTTGAGATCGTACCGTGTCCCGGATGTGTTTTCCTACTCGTTCCCACTGCGCGTGCTGGAAGCCTTCCCGCAGCTCCTTCGAAGCTCTTTGGGAGCTTCTGCGAATCTCTATTTCTTAGGCTTGCAAGCTCTCCGGGCATCCTTTCAAGCGTTTCCCACAAACTTTTACGCACTTAGACCGCGACGCTATCCGGGCTTTCAACGTCACAAGTGAGGACGAACGATAAGGATGCAAGGGCTTTGGAAGGCCATGTCGGCACTCTGCAAGCGGGGCGCGGCCAGCGAACGCGGCCAAGGATGGGCCGAAGGGGAAGGATGCACGGGCAAACTCAGAAAATTGCTCAGCCTCACTGTGTGCGGGTTGACTGCAGACCTTCCTGGGCCTCCAACGCGTTGAACGACTCAATTTGGAGGTCTTTCGCCGTGTTCGGCCTCTGGGCGCCTGCGCCGGGCCTCGGGGCCGTCAAAAGACGACTGGAGATAAAAAAAAAGAAAACGCCCAGGGGAAAAGGTCGGGACTTCGGGGCCCGCGCATGGAGCAAATCAATGCTTCTAGAACAGAAAAAACCTCCCTCATAAGCAGCACCCCGACAAGCGAAGCAGTTCAGTAAGCGCACCCTAGGAAGAAATCGAACTGGACAGTATAGTAAACGCCCAGGGCTGTTAGTAAACGCCAATTGTGGGGGTCGGGGTGGTTTCCCCTTCCTCGAGCATCGGATCTCTGTGTTCAGAGCCTCTCCCCCCCAAAGGGCGAAAAGTTGTTCCCAGGGAGGGGGTCGAGAGTTCTAGGCCCCGAGACTCGAAGACATCGAGCCGTCGTAAGTCTCGGGGGGGTCACCGATGCCGCTACTTCCTGGATCTCACCCAGGAGAAGAAAGAAAACTATGCACATACACCGGTTCCCATCCTGAGCGCAGGATCGGTGCATACGCCCTCCTGCCTTGGCCAGGGAGGCATGTGCACCGACCCTGCGCTCAGGATGAGCCTGGCCAAGAATAGTTCTCTTCGCCCGATCCTACGGCGCATTCGGACTAGAATTTCCAAGAGGGTCCAGCCGTGGTGACGACCCTGAGATGCGACGACGCGGAAAAACTGCAAAACACTTTTGAAGCGGGATCGATCTGTGAACGTCCTGGGGCCCGATGCACGTACGGCGAAGACGCCCCTCGCGAAAACCTCCCGACGCCGAGATTTCAGAGGGCTCTCCAGGACGAGCAGCGGCATCATAGATGTCTTGATGGGCCTGTTTTCCACCACCACCACCATAAGTTGGAGGGGGAGGAGGAGGAGGAGGAGGAGGAGGAGGAGGAGGAGGAGGAGGAGGAGGAGGAGGAGGAGGAGGAGGACCCCCTCCCCCTCCAACTTATGGTGGTGGTGGTGGAAAACAGGCCCATCATGTCTTCTCCTCCTCCGATCGTCAATCCATCTCGAGCCGCAGGCAGCAGGGGACGCGCGAGCGGACTGCGGGTGCCGATGAGTATCGTTCAACCGATCCCCATCCCCACCAGCGTGGGCTGGGCCCCACTGGCCGATTTACCCCCCTGGATGGGGATATAGGCTGCTCTCTTCGGGTTTCGAGGGACATATCCCCAAATGAGGTGGCGACACGGTGGGGCTCGAGATGTGGATGAGGATAGGGGATAGGGATCGGTTCAGCGATACTGAGGGGATGCGCGAGCGGATTGCCGGTGCCGAGCGCCCCGCGGGAGTGAGACGGTGAGAACCAGCGACTTGTGCAGTAACGCCGGCCACACCGCGGCGAGGACCACCACACGGGCCCAGAGGTGCAGGAGGTCGTCCTGCGGAGCGCAGCAAGGGCGCCGCGGGGTCCGATGAAACCAAAGAACCTCTTCCTCCTCCTCCTCCTCCTCCTCCTCTTCCGCCGCCTCCTATCTCCGCCTGGATTCAGGGCGTGTCGGACGACTTGTAGACTACAGGGTCTCAGGGTGGCTACGGTGCGCCTCAACGGATGCACGTAATTGATACATACGCATGCGTACCTGCATCTGCTTGTGCAGTGTCTGGTCCGGTGCCGATGCCCTCTTCCACGTCCGCTTCCCCGCCCCTCGGGCACACGCCAACATGGACTACGGCCCCGCGGATCTGGCGCGTGGTCGCCAGATCCATGGATCGGGGAGCGCGCGCCCCGAAGCACGAAGTCAGTGCCGCGCCGCCCGATGTGGAGACGGATCGCGCCGATACGGCATCGAAGCGGGGCAGGTCGCTGAGCCACGCACCTTCGTCCATGGCTGCGCTTCCTCGATCTTCCCCTCCCCCCCGCTATCAACGCTATCAACGCGGCTGAGCCACGAGTCGAGCTGGTCGAACTCAGAAAGGCACTCCGCCCCAGGTGCGTGCCGGGAGAGTTCTTTCCTCTGCGAGCCTATGGGCGGGACCGAGGAGACACACAGTGAGTCTGTGCTTTGGGCAGCCTTCGCCGCTGCCTCCTTCGCCTGGGCGCGTAGCCACATGGCTTGCGCCCCAGGCGTCTGTAATTACCAATCCCTCGGGGCCTACCATTGTCATAGCGACGCCTGGCGGGGGTGGGACCGCAGCAGCACAGCACAGGCAGCTCACTCCTCGCCGAGAGGAGTGAGAGAGACACGCTCCTCCTAAGCTCTGGAGGGAGCGAGTATGGATGGAGAGGCGCGGGCCTTCCTGCCGGACCGCCTCGAGGCTGCTCGCTGGGGCAGGCCGCGGGCGATCCAAGAGGGCGGGCGGGGAGACGCCGAGCGTCCTGCTGCCCACGCGCCCCGTCGCCCCCTGGTGGGCCCCCTCCAGAGCCCCCCTCGGCGCCCGAGCCCGTGCTCGGCCGCTCCGCGGACCCCTGGCCTACTCGGCGTCCGAGCGGACCCACCGCGGTGAAAGCGTGCATCGGGCACGGACGGTGAGGACGCGAGGCCCTCGGAGGCCGAAGTTGGGATCTGTTTGGGCAGCGGGCGACCACCGCCCCAGGGACGCAGGGGCACCCTGACCCAGGGGGAGGCCAGCGAACACGGCAAAGGGCGGGCCGCAGAGGCAAGGACACAAAGGGCACCCTGGGTGAAGGCGCGCGTCCTTTCTGGGCGCGATGGCTGGACTGCCCATGGCATCGGGATCGAGACGGCGCGCGGCTGCCCCCTGGGCAGCCGAGCGGGCCCGGACGCAGAGGGGCCTCAGAGGGAAGCCTGGGCCCCCGCCGCCCTCCTGCTGAGCTCTGCCCCACAGCCTTCGAGGATCGGACGGGGGGGCTCTTTGCAGCCGTGCGGTCGGTTTCCCGCCTCCGCGGGCGTCTCCAGAGGCCCCCCCCCACAGGGCCCTCCAGGGGGCCAGGATCCGGGGCGGCGGCGAGCCTTCCCACTCCCTCGGGCTCGCCGTCCACCAGCTCCTCCTCGCTCGTCTGGTCGAGGGGCCCACGGCGCCTCAAGATGGGCCCGAGGAGAGGCGCAACTCGAAGGGTCTTCGGAGACCCTCCATGTCAAGATGGGCCTCCGACCGCCATGGGTCTCCCCCATAAAGCGCCCACGAAGCCCCCAGGGGCGCCCAAAAGGTTCCGCCCGAAAACATTGCAGACGATGCCCAAACACCCTGGGGGGCGAGCGAGGGTCCTGGTCGCGGGTCTGAGATACAAAACTCCATCCCTGGGGCGTGGCTTCTGTATACTGGCCCCGGGCGGTGGCATCGGACTGGGGCGGGGAGGGTGCGGTGCACAAAAACATCTAGACAGGAAAGGCGCCCCTGTGGAAGGCCCCTAGGAGGAGGCCCCTGGATGCTCCAGCAACACCTCCTCCTCCTCCTCCTCCTCCTCCTCGTGCTCCCTGGGGGTCCCCTGGGAGGCCTCCCGAGAACACCCTGGGAGGCCCCTGGTCCACGACCCGAGCACGGTGGCGGGAGGCGCCCTTCCAAAAGGCTCCCTGTGGGGTCTCGGCCGATCCGGCCGGGCAGTCGGACAGACCGGCCTCCGTCAGCTTTCCCGCTCCAGGCACCCCCCAAGAGGGCCCTCAGGGCGGCCGAGATGGCCCCACGTGCCTCCAGGTCGGCTCCGTATTGCATCTGAGGTGTCCCCAGGGCGGCCCAAGACAGGAATCCCGCAGTAGGCCAAAAGAGGCCCCCAGGAAGCATCCTCCTCCTCCTCCTCCTCCTCCTCCTCCTCCTCCTCCTCCTCCTCCTCTTCCCCCAGGTGCCTTCCCAAGGTTTCAAAAACAGCTCGGGGAGCACACGGTCCAATCGCTTGGCATCACCTCGTGCCAACGGCTTTGGCCACCTGGGCGTTTGCAAAGAAGGCGGGGGGCGGCGGCGGGTTGCCGCAGGCATCTCTTGGATCCGCTGCCCCCGCGGCCTGCCATGCTGCGTGGCCCTTCCAAGAATTCCCAATGGCGCCGGCCAAGCCCGCCGGCCACCCAGAAGCACCCGTCGAGGCACATACGGTGGAGGCCGATGCCAAGAAACACCCTGCTTGCCTCCACGGTGCCCTGGGTTTCGACAGTTTTGCGATGGAAGGCGTGACGTTCCCACACCAAAATTCGATGGACGCCCTGGGGTCGTTTTGTGTGAAAGGTTTCTTGTGGACTGGCCTCCACTGTAGAGAAGGTCCTTCAACGGCTGTTCCATCCAAAATGGCCCTAAGAAGGTCTCCAAGAGGGCCCTGGTCGCCATCAAGGACGTCAAAGCAGGCCCAAGTGCCCCCCACGATTGCTCAAGACGGCTGCAAGAGGACCGAATCTTTTCCCACGGTTGCGCAAAATGGCCTCACGGCGGCCCACGAAGTCAACAGGAGACCCCAAGGGAGTTCCGGGAGAACCCCCAGGAGGGCCTCAAGAGGCACAAGCCATTGACTTGACCTAGGTGTCTCTGTAAGTGTAGTAAGTGCAGCGGTCTCGCCTTCTCGGACTTGCGGCAGCCGAAGCCGGCCCAAGATTCCCCAAAGAACCCCCAGGAGGGCCTCAAGAGGCACAAGCCATTGATTTGACCTAGGTGACTCTGTAACTGTAGCGTTCTCACCTTTTCGGGCTTGCGGCAGCCGAAGCTGGCCCAAGATTCGCCAAAGAGGCCCAAGATGACCCCAGAACAACTCAGAGAGGCCCCCAAGACGGTCCAGGAGAGCCTCAAGATGGGCTGAGTGGGCCACAGGGGGCCCCGCTGAAGAAGGCCCCGAAGGCTTCAAAAGAACCCCAAGACAGCCCCACAACGGCCAGAGAGGGCCCCCGAATAGTGTTCCCCCAATGTTTCCCCAACGGCTGGGGAGACATGCAATCGACTAGCGTCGCCGGTGCTTCTCTCGACGTGTTACATGTTTGCCAGCGCGACAGCCGAGCAGTTCTTTGTGGCAGTCTGGATGTGTGATCTATGTGGTGCAAAGCATGCGGAACAAGCGACGTGGTCAAATATGCATCTATATATACATACACACAAGAAAAGCGGAACATGCAATACGCATATACGAATTTATATATATATATATACACACACCTAGATGTGGTGGTAGGCATGTGGTGCGAGCCTTGCACACCAATTGATGTTGGGCAGGCTACGTGGTAGAAGCTGTGCGGTGCAAGCTATGTTGTGCAAGCCGTGTGGTGCAAGCCACGCTGCGCAAGCTGTGCTGCGCAGGCGTGGCGGGAAACGTGTGCCCGGTGCGTGCGCACGAGGCGCCGACGAGTCAGCGACGGGCGCCCACCGTGCGACAACCCCGGGAATGCCACCCCCCTGTCGCTGCACGAAAGAACACAGCCCCCAGGGGCAAGCCCCCGCTGGCGTTTCCAAGATACAGGGGGCGGCGGTGACTCGCAGTAAACGTCTTCGGTGACGATCGTCCTTGCTTGCTCGTGCACAGCTCGGCAGGCGCGCCCCGAACCCTTGATATCCGCCCTCTTCGCATGCGGTCGCGCCCCTCTTTGAGTGCTTCTTTTTCTTACCCGCTGCGGGTAACCGGCGCGGACCCCGAAACAGAAAGAGGGAGTGAGGGAGGGAGACAGGGATGAGGCCCAAGGGAACATACGAGAGGATGACGAGAAAGAGGAGGAAGACGAAGACGAGTACAGAGAGAACCATAGGGAGGAAGGGAGGTTGAGGCGACCTACAGTCAAAAGCTTTGGCTTGGCTTGTCACGGCGGCGACCCCGGCGGCACGCTATGCCATGCAAAATGGCAGCGTGCCGCTCCGCTTTTGGGGGGCGGGAGGCAGGGAAAAGCTCGGGATGTTCACGCTTAGGGGAGTAGGGCGTGGTCAGTGTGTCGCGCCGAGGCGTGGTGGCCAGAACGGGCGGCGAGAGACGGCAAGACACGTGCCTGACCGCACCCCATGTCCACCCAGCGGGCGGCCGCAACGGCCCTCCTGCGCCGCAGCCCAGTAGCCAATCAGGTACAGCACCAGGAGGACGCTGCGCGACAGCGACCTGTGGAAAGCTGGCGGCCCTCCGGTGGCACAGACAGCTCGCCGTCGGCCAATTCTGGGCCTCTGGGGCCGCTTCAGCCTGGAGCGCCAACGCTGGGGCCCCCGTAGTGTTGGCACGGCGCGAACCTGCCGTGCAAGGGAATGGCGCGGAGAAGCATCCCAAACCTCAGCCTGGTCCGCGATTCGGTCCACTGTTCCTCTCGTCTTCCTCCTCTGCCTCATCTTCGAATGTGCTTCCCTTTCTCATTATCTGATTTCTTCTCATCTTCCGTAGATCCCTCCTCCTCCTCCTCCTGCTCCTCCTCCTCGCTCTCGCTCTCGTAGTCCTCCAGCAACACCTCCTCCTCCTCCTCCTCGTCTTCGTCGTCGTCCTCCTCCTCCTCCTTTCCCTCCTCCTCCTCCTCCTCCTCCTCCTCCTCCTCCTCCTCCTCCCTCTCCTCCGAATGCCGAATGCTAACAAGCTTCCCGAATGCTAACGTGTGGGACTGCCGCTGGATCACTCGTTTCAACGGGCGTTGCCAATTCTTTTCTAAAATTGGTTTGCCTAGCGCCACGCCACTTGCCATCCGTCAAAAACAGTTGCGGTTAGTTTGTTTGCAAGGGTCCTGCATTTCTTCGGCACTGGGGGGCCTATCCGCAACAAACCTCCATCAAGAAACCTAACCCTGACACCACAGGACGTCCACTGATTGTTGGTGTGGGGACGTCGCGCTTTCCATTGCAAAACCATCGAAGCCCAAGAAACCCAGGGCACCCTGGAGGCGAGCAGGGTGTTCCTTGGCGTGGGCCTCCACTGTAATCGGCCTGTCTGTGAGGGTCCTGTGTTTCGTCTCGAGGGCGAGTGGGTGCTTTGCCAGCTCCCGAATCTGCGGACCGTGGTCCGTGGCCGTGGCCCGTGCTCGGTGGTCGGTGGCCCGCGGTCGGTGGCCCGTGGCCGGTGGCCGTGGCCCGTGGTCATGATCCAGCGCAGTCCCGTGCAACGTGGCACCGTGCAGTACCTCTTCTCCGTGCTTAGCTGCCCCGATGCGCAGCACGCGACACGTAGCGTACTGACACGGAGCTCAACACGCAGACCGTAGACTGAACACGTAGGTCTGACGCGACACATTCGCCAAAAGGTGGGCCAACACGCTGAGCCAACACGCAGCGTCTTCACACGGACGTTTTGAACACGGCACGTAGTGCGTTTCAAAACGAGCTTCTCAAAGCAACTGAGGCTCCGTGTCGTGTTTGTGAACGTCTTCTTACTTGGCGTCTCGACATTGGGCGGAAGGCAGGAGAGCCCAGAATCGAATCGAGAAGTCGGATCGGCGATCGAAGTGAATCGGATCGGCGGAAATCGGCAGCGGATTTGGGGGAGAAGTCGAATCGGCGGAAATCCGCAGGCTGGTATGCCTCCAGTAAGAAATCGGAGCCCAGATCGGAATTCCAAGCCGAATCAAATCGGAATCGGAAGCCATCGAAATCGACTGGAATCGAATCGGAGGAGTCGAAATGAGCCCTGGGAAGGGGGGAGGAAGGGGGCGGTCTGGCTCCTGACCTCTGCCTAGTGCAACGGTTTGCAGCAGTGCGTCCCATGGGGAAGCCTCCACTTGCCTGAAGCAGGCGCCGCAAACAACCAAGATCTACTCCACCGGGGGGGAGGGGGGATCCGGGGGTCCGCGCCGATCGGCAAAGCAATGAATCAGAAAACGATCGCCTTCCTGTGCTCTAAGGAGCTGTTTGGCTGCCGCCAAGTGGGTGTAGATTTGTAGGCGGCATCGCTGCTTCACAGCGTCCCAGCATCTTGAACGGGACAGCAGGCGTTGGCCAACTTTTGGGCGAGGACCGACCGTCCCAGCGTTCGTATAGGCCTACCGCGAAATGTTAGGATAACCCCACCATGTTCTAAGAGCAACGCAACGTTCTTATAACAAAAAGCCGATGTGTGGACAGTCTCAATCAGACATGATCTAAGAACCTTCCGTGCAGACCACACAAAATTCTTAGAGCATTTTGGTGGGCCTATAGGCAAGCCAGGACGCTTCGCCACTGCTAGAAACTTGTCCTCTTCCCCTCGCCTAGTCACGTCGGACATCGGCAACCATCAACGACCCTGGGCGACAGGGAGTCCCAATGTGTAGGCTACTCACAACTTGACGACTCCTTGGTTGCCTTGGCATCGCCCGATATGTCGGCTGGTGCACTAGAACCAATGTTCCCCTCGAGAACCGGCTAGCCTTGTTTGTAGACGTGACGCGCAAGTTCGGACGAGTTCTCGATCTTCAAACCCGTCAGCGGAAAGCAAGCTTGCGCGTTGTCGCTTGCACATCGATTCAACAGGAGTATGCGAAACTCTGGACTGCGCACCGTCAACTTCTATATCAGATTGTGTGGGCCTGAAGGCAATTCCAACACGCGCTGCCGAAAAGCCATTGCCAGGCACGAAGGATTCCCGCATGTTTGGCGTTATGCCTCCTCCTCACATGTTCGTTTGCCCGCCTGGCAACCAGCACGCCAACACCCTTTCTTGAGCGATAGAACTCATCCATGAAATGGACTCTCGCACTTGCAGTGAGAAAAGCGTCTTCTGCGTGTAAGTACCATTCAGGAGGGCACCCAGGCCACAACACATGAGAGAGTCTCCCACGGGAAGGTCGTCGTCAGCTGGTCCCCAAAAAGAATACTGGACTTCAGCGGAAACCTCCACAAACTTGTGAGTCAGGCCGCTCAGACGGATGTAGTCCCTCATTCGGTCACAACCCGTCGACCTTCAAGCAATATCGCGAACCACCGCGACCAACTGAATGATACTTGCTAGCGCTGCTGAAAACATGTTGAGGATAAAACAGCAGCGGCCACGGAATCTGAAGAGCGTTCCGGCGATGGCACGTGGAATGCATGGCTGCTTGAGACGTGCTGCTCCGTGCGGCCAGCTGCGGAATTCGCCGACCCGTTGAGAGTTTCCCAGCGCGCGACATAATTGCCCCTCCCCACACCCCTCCCTTGGGAGCCGGGCACAACCGGCTTCGAGGGGGGTGTTCTGGTCGAGCCAGCCGAAACCGCGGGCGGACTCATCTGCCTCAGAATGGCCTCTGGTCGCGTTGAAATCCAACCAATTGGTCTCAAAATGACCCAAGAAGGAGCCCGAGCGGCCCAAGCCGGCCGGAAAACTGCCCCCAGGGCGCCCTGAGAGAGGTCCAAGAGGGCCTCCAATCCAATAGGGCCTCCAAGGGCCCAAACCATCTGAGCGGCCCCCAAGCGCCGTTCGGATGTTGACAGTGTGACTTCGACGACTACTGAAACCAAGATAAAAACCGGTGCTCAGAAAACGAGCCCCAGACCCCTGGGGCGAAAGTGGGTATTGGGGGGTGGCCCCTTTTGTCACTATGTGCGGGGGGCGGCGGGGGGGGCAACGCTCCGATAGATCAACTAGAACCACGCGCGCGCGCTTCGCGCGTTTAGGTTCTAGCAAGCTCTAGTTGTAGTCTAAAATGCTCGGCAACGGTGGACATATGCGTATTGCCACACGGATCCTGCCCTTCAGGGAGCTCCACCGACGGTCCCAGAGACAGGCTTGGCTTAGCGTCCCCCCCGCCCATGTCGGCACACCCCTCACAGGGATTGCGCCCCACAGGGGGCTCCACCTACGTCCCCAAAGACAAACTTCGCATAATTGCACGCCCCTCATTCGGATGGTGCCCTGCAAGTGACTGCACTTACGGCCCCCGAGGGTGTCTTGATAGCGTCGCCCCGCTCACTTGGGCGCACCTATCACACGGATCGTGCCCCGCACAGAATTCCACGGACGGCCCCAGAGACAAGATTCGCACTCCGCTCCCCCGCCACCTTAGGCACACCTCTCACACGGATTGTGGTCCACAGGGATCTCCACCTACGGCCCCAGGAGGCAGGGTTCGCATTGCGCCCCGCCCCTGACCATTGCGGCACACCCCATCACGCGGATCGTGCCCACAAGGAACACAACCGACAAGCCCAGAGACAAGGTTCGTCACGCGAACCATGCCCATGAAGGAGCTCCACCTATGGCACCAGTGGGCAGCTTCACACGGCGTCCCCCCGCCCACTTCGGAGCACGCCTCGCACGGGTCATGCCCAGAGGAGCTCTACCTGCGGCCTCAATTAGCGTGTTCGCGCGGGTACATCCGAATGCACACCCTTCACGCTGATCGTGCCCCACAACGACTTCAGCGCGCCCATGCACGCGTGTTCCGCAGCAGCCCCTTGGTCCGCGTTGCCTCGCGGCGCGCAGTCCATGAGAGAGACCCGCGCCCTGCGCTGCACAAGACTCCACAGGGATGGGTCCGTCACCAAGCCATTTGCTTGCCTATCTGTGGCCCTCGGCCTATACCGCAACTGCGCCTGAGTTTGGGGCCAGAGGCTCCTTGGATACCTGACATTTGGGGTCTCTTGGCATGCTCCTCGAGCGCGAGCTGTCAGTTGGAGTTCCCACCCTTGGACCCATCTTGGGGCCGTCTTGGGCGCATCTTGGATCATCTTGGGGCTCTCTCGTGCCGTCCTGGGGCCATCTTGGGTGCCCCTTGGGCCGTCTTGGGACGATTGTGGGGGCCTCTTGGGCCGTCTTGGACGCTGTCGGGACACCAAAAGCGGATCGGTGAAAATGTAAGTTTTCCCTACGGAGTGCGGCAATTTGGGTGGGGCGCATCTTGGAGCCTTCTTATAACGTCTTCGGGACTTCTTGAGCCGTCTTGAAACAATATTCAGGCGTCTTCGGCCCTGTCAATGCGCTCTGGTCGTTTGTTGGTCGCCTCAGGAACTGGTCTGGACGACCGAGGGGGGAGGCTCGGGGAGGCCCCAGACCGGCCCGGGCCACGGGCCCCCGGTGTGCCCTGGCACTCTCTCTTTCTCTCTCTCTCTCTCTCTCTCTGTCGATGCATGCTAGAACCACATGCACGCTTCCCGCGCGCTTGATACGAAGGTCAGTCCAAGCCAACCTCACAAGATCGGACGAGGATGGACATCCTCCCGCACGGGAGTTCACAATATGGGAGCGTGCTTCCTGGTGGATGCTTCAGGAGGCGCTGAATAATGCTTCAGGAAGTCGCGCAAGGCATCCAAGAGGACCCAGGGCAGCCTAAGGGGGGATGCCCGAGAACCCCTAAGAGCCTGGCAAAACCATGATGGGAGTCTGTTTGAATGCCTTTGGGGGACGTTATTGGAGGGCTCCTGGGGATTTCTCTCTTGGGCGCCTCTCGGGTGCCTCTTGGGGCCTTTTGGGGGAGCCTTAGATGCCTCTGAGGCGCTCAGGGGGCCATCTTGGTCGGGCCCGTCCCCTGGTATTTGTTGCTTCTGGAGGGTCTCGTGGGAACCCTGGGGGGGCTCTCTTCGGGCGTTTCTGGGACCTGTTGGGCCACGATGGGGGCACGTTGAGCTCGAAGACGGCCCAAGATCGCGTCAGGACGGCCGTTCATCGATCGCCTCTCCTCTCTGGAATCTTCTGGATCGCCATGAGTGCCTCAGGGCGTCTGGAGGGGGGCTCTCAAGGGCCTCTTCGGGGCCTCTTGGGGCTTCCTAGGGGCCTTTTGGGGCTTCTTGGGGATGTTTGGGGGGCTTCCTGGGGCCTCCTGGGGGCGGCGTCTTGGGGCCGAAGGCTTGAAATATCCGTTCGGGTAGTACCCCCTCTGGGCCCCGTCTTGGGGCCGTCCAAAGGCCTTCATGGGCTGGCTTGGGGCCTCTTGAGCCTTCTTGGGGCTCTCTTGGGCCGTCTTGGAGCCCAGGAGGGAGCCTCTTGGGCCGTCTTGGGGCGGTCTTGGAGGCCTCTTGGGCCGTCATTGCCCCTTTCCCTGCCGCCTCCCTTTCCCTGGGCTCGTCGAAGCTCCCCCCTTTCCCAGGGACTTCCTTGGGGCCTCTTGGGCACCTCACGGGGCTTCGTGGAAGCCTCCTGGTGGCCTCCGGGGGCCTACAGGCGGCCTCTAGGGCCAGAGACCTCGAAATATCGGTTGGCGGTCCCCTTCTGGGCCCTCTCTTGGGGAGCTCTTGGGGCACAATTGGGTTGTCTGGGGAACCTCCTGGGCCGTCTTGGGGCCCTCTTCGGGGCCTCCTGGCCCGTCTTGGAGCGATCTGAAGGGCCTCCGAGCGAGGCCGTGAGGGAGCGCTGGGAAGCGGGGAAAGCGAGAACCCCTAAATCTTTCAAAAACCATCGGGCAATTAGTGGATCTTGCCTCCCAGGGCCCTCTTGGGGAGCCTCCTGAGTCCGTCCTGGAACGTGTTCGAGTCCTCGTCGGCCGTCTTGAGGGCAGCTTGGGCATCTTCGGGGCCTCTTGGGACCGTCTCGGGCCCTCCCGGGACCTCCATTAGCCTGTCGTGGCCTGTTTCGGGGCGGGCCCGGGCCGCCTCGGGACCCCTCTGGGCCTTCTCTTGGCGCGCTCTTGGGGCACACTTGGGTTGTCTGGGGAGCGCTGGAAAGCGGGAAAAGCGAGAACGCCAAAATCAACACTCGGGAAACGAGTGAATCTTGCCTTCCAGGGCCCTCTTGGGGAGCCTCTTGAGTCCGTTTTGGAGCGTGTTGGAGTCCTCGTCGGCTGTCTTGAAAGCATCTTGGGCGTCTTCGGGGCCTCGTGGGACCGTCTTGGGTCTTCTCGCCCCCCCGCAACCCGGAGGGCCTCTTGGGGCTTCCGGGGGGCCTTTTGGGAGCCTCACGGGGCTTCTTGGGAGCCTCTTGATGGTCTCCGGGGGCGTCCTAGGAACCTCTCAGGCCGGAGACCTCGAAATGTCGCGCTCTTCGGGCCCTCTTGGGTCGCTATTGGGGCTCTCTTGGAGCGCTCTCGAGGCCCTTTTTGGCATATCTGGGGAACCTCCTGGGCCGTCTCTGGGCTTTCTTGGGAGCCTCTTCGGCCGTCTTGGAGCGATCTGAAGGGCCTCTGACGCGGTCCAGAACCGTGGGGAGGCGGAACATGGGAGAGCGCAAGAATGCTTCAAAAACCATTGGAAAATGTATGATTTTCAGCTTCTGGGGCCCTTTGGATGGGGCCTCTGGAGGCCCTCTTGGGGCGTTTTGGCGGCGTCGTCGGCCGTCCTGAGGCCATCCTCGGCGTGTCCGGGGCCTCTGGGGGTTATCTTTGGGCGTCCTGGGAACCCGGAAATCATGTTCGCGGAGAGGCTTCCGGGAACATGATTTCGAACGAGGCTCTCTTGGGGGCCTCCCTGAGGCCGTCTCGGGGGCCTCCTGGGCCGGCTTCGGGGCCTCTTGGGCCGTCTCGGGGGGGTCCGTGAGCCCCACAGGCCGACCCTTTTTTGGGCCGTCTGGGGCCCTCTTGGGTCTCTCTTGGGCGTCTGGGGCACTGCGAAGACGAAGCAAAGGAGTATGCTGATAATGTACGTTTTACGAAGGGAACGGGCTGATTTTTACTTATCGAAGGCCCTCTCGGGGCCCTCTTCGGCCATCTTGAAGCCATCTCGGGACCTCTTGGGCCTTGCTGAGGCTGTCTTATGGGCCTCTTGGGCGCCCTGGGAACCCGGAAATCATGTTCCCGGAGAGGCTTCTGGGAACATGATTTCGAACGATGCCTCTTGGGCCTTCATGGGGCCGTCTTGGGGGCCTCCTGGGCCGGCTTCGGGGCCTCTTGGGCCGTCTTGGGGGGTTCCGTGGGCCCCACGGGGCGCTCTTGTTGGGCCGTCTTGGGCCCTCTTGGGTCTCTCTTGGGCTGCGTTGGGGCTCCGCGGGGGCGTCTGGGGCACTGTGAAGACGAAGCCAGCGAACATACTGGAAATGTACGCTTTACAACGGAAATAAGCCGATGTCTGCCTCTTGAAGGCCCTCTCGGGGCCCTCTTCGGCCATCTTGAAGCCATCTCGGGCCCCCCGGGGCCTGTCTGAGGCTGTCTTGTGGGCCTCTTGGGCGCCCTGGGGAAACGGAAGTCATGTTCCCGGAGAGGCTTCCGGGAACACGATGTCGAACGGGGCCCTCTTGGGCCTCCCTGAGGCCGTCTTGGGCGTTCGGGGGCCCCTTCCCCCTAATATGTCTCGCCCCCCCCCCCCACCCACCCCACCCCCAAACGTCAAGAACGATAATCAAGAGTATGGATCCCGATGGTGCACAAAGGATGGTGTGCAAGAGATTGTTTTCAGTACCAGTGCTCGGGCCAAGGCTGCACCGCCCTCCCGCCCTCGAGCCTTAGGGCTGCGGGCCGGGAAAAAAGTCTACGCTGCTGCGTTTGCATATATGCTGCATGCCCTTCTCTGCTACCTAAGCTGCGCCCTCCCTGCTACCTAAGTTGTGCCTGGCTGCTCACACGCTCCTCCGCGGAGCTGTGACGCAGGTTCGCTATACAGTAAGCAGACAGCACTATGTCCACTCGTCTGACCTAACAGCAGGCTATATCTAGTCCTCCCTGATATGCTTCACTACCAACATGTCAATCAGCTCGGCCTCACGGCCTGCGTAGCCTCTCACTGTCTCCGCCGCCGCGTCTGCCGAGGCAGGTTCATACTCGAACAATATGGCCTGCACCCATGTAACATACTGCTCGAAAGTCGACACCTGTAGGGGCACTGCCGCGGGGCGCCGGTCCTCTTCTCCATCGTTGCGAGCACGCGCGCCCTCCTCCTGGCGAGGGCACCCTGCGGGCGGCGGCGTAAGCACGGCGCCTCCGACAGCTGCCGGGGCCGGCGGCGCAGGGGCCGACGAAGCGCTGCCCGAAGTGCTCGTCTCGAGCCGCCGCTTCTTCGTCGACAGCGCCGGCCTGGGGGGTGGAGCCGGTAGGAACGCCACCACGTAGGGGTCCATCCTGGTCACCATCCACTCCGTGCTCTCCTCCCAACGGCTCCAGATTCGGAACTTCCCCACGTTGTGCGGGATACCACGTCACCGTGGTGCCGGCGCCATACGAGAAGAGGAGGGACTTCCCGCTCTTCGTGATGACAGGTTTCTGGCTGATGGCAGCGCGCTGCAACATGCTCTCGACAGCCATCAGGTTGCTGGCCATGTCCTCGCTGTTGTCTACGATCCACGAGCGCATCGCAGAGAAGCCCTCGGCCTTGCTCTGCTTGTCGGCATGGCGGGCCATCCGGGCTTGGTGGGTGTCACGCAGGTGCAGCAGAGGAAGCTTTGGAGCCACGCGAGCTCTGGACAGGCACGTTGTGAGAACATCTGACCCGTTGAGATCGGTGCCCACATCTGTCACCCTGATTCGACCCTGGGCGGTGGCCTCCCGGACCCACAAATCGGCGAGGTCAACGTGGCGAATCTTCCTCAGATCCGCCTCCCTCCTGGCGAGCAGATTCGCTGCCGAACTGTCTCCTTCCAGCTCGTGCTCCTCCTATACCTCGACTCCTACCCTCCCCAACACCTCCTTCAACAGATCCCCAAATCCTACCAAAACCCTCCCTGCCCATGAGAGCCCCTTGATTTCGGACTCTGCAGTGGACACCGACACGGTCGTCTGCCTTTGAGTACGACAACATGTGGTTGCTAAGGATTTCGAGTCACCTACACGCACGGATAAGCCTTGCCGCGCGCGCTCGCTGAGCAGATTCGCATCAGCCTGCCCTTTGATCACAATAGGGCCTGTGAGAGGTGGGCTGGGTAGCTCCAGGTGCCGGGGCACCGTCGTTGCGAGGTACGCGAGCAACTCGCCCACGACCTCAAGGTGTCGCTTCCGCGGGGCTGCTTGCCCTTCGGCCAAAATGGCGGCAGGGGCTGCCACGTCGCGTCTGGTGTGCAACGCTAGGTACGCTACGGAGCCGAGCTGGCTCCTGAACTGGTGGTGGTCTCCTGCGTTCAGAGGAGGGTTCCCGGCCTCTTCGGCCGTCAGATACGTATGCTTGAAGTGGTCTTCGTTTAAACTGGCCACGGGCGTCGTGACGGGAAACTTTTCCAGCACGGCACGAGGGTAGGCTTCCTGACTGACAACGAGCACACGCTCCGTTTTGGAGTCGTTCGTAATGTACATGTCAGTACCCAACACACACCACGGATTCTCTAGGCTACGCTCCTCCAGAAATCTAGGCGCACTAGACTTGAACTGGGAACGAATCAACTTGAGCGTGTTCTCCACGGTGTCTCTGTCGCCAAAAATGATCAAATCGTCAACGTATGTGATGACAATGACCGGTTTTCCGCCGACAGTGCCTGTGAGAATGCAATCTGTGTATTGGGAGGACTTGAAACCGTGCCGATTGAGGAATGCAATTAACGTGACTTGCCATTGGGACTGTGCCGTTCGCAACCCGTATGTGCTTTTCAACACCTCAAAGACGTGCCCTGGTGGTGTGTTTGTGCCGAAAAGGTGGTTTCAATAAGGCGCGTTTGTTCCCAACTTGGGAAACTCTTCGCTTGTTTGAAGGAAAGCTTGCGAAATTTGCAACAGTGTTGCTGACCAGCCCATTCGGAAGCCAATGACAAGCAGGCTCAGCCACTCTTCGGCTCCTGCTACAGTGGCGTGGGTGAAAGCATTTGACACACGCTGGAAATTACCACGTGCAACCAAGCGCGCCTTGTAGCGCCTGTCCTTGTTGATCGTGAGCAACAGCAGTGCTGGAAGCAGATCGTCATCCTTCGTGACGTCTGCAACCAGTTTCATTACCAACACGCCCTCGTCCAACAAACCACCTAACTATGAACCGATGGTTTCGCGCCACTTTGGCGCTTCAGGTGACTGCAATGTTTTTTTTTGGCGGGGCGTAGACCACAAAAGCTTTTACCCCCGTGGATTTCTCGAGGTCGTTCCCCTCCCGACGCACTTCGTCTACAGAAGGGGCGCCAACGTTCACATGTGCTGCATCCATATCTTCCGGCAGACGCTTTCCGCCGAACAGGGCCTGACGCACGACCGTGCACCTCAGGGCGCGCTCGCGGCGCCTCTGGCCGTCCTCGCCGGGTTTGGCGGGACAACTAGGGTATTTATGATCATCCTGTGCCACACAAGCTTTCTGGCACACCACGGCCGCTTCGAGATGCTCGAGCGGAGGGTGTTGAGGAGACGCCATTCGGCGACTTCCACAACGACTTCCCTTCCTGCACCTCCTCCCGACCCCTCGTTTCCTCCCGTTCCTCCTCCAGACTCCTTTGGGCCCTCCCCTCCCGAAGGTGGAACGGCAGGTTCGCCATTAACTAAAGGGGGGCAAACTTTCGCAAAATGCGTATGTGACCTTCAGGTTGTCTGTGGTACGGGAGAACGCTTTGCGGTCCGTTGGGTGAAAGTCTGAATACAAACAAACCGTTTGACGGAAAGCGTGCGTGTCTGGATCCCTGAACAGGATACGAATGCCTCCAGTTGTGGACAGATCGTATCCTACGTGCGCTGCCGGGATCGCTTTCGGACGAAGTGTGCTCTTTGCCATGACCTCTGGAGGAAGCACAGCATGGCCGAGTTGGCCAAAAGGAGCCCGACCGGCTACGTTGATGCGAGGATATACTCCGATGCTGGCGTTTTTGTGCGCACACCAGGCGCGTACAGCATGGTGCCAGTACTTCGGCAACACATGTGAATGCAAGAGCACTGAACGCAAACCCCGCCCTACAAGTTTGACGGCCGATTCGGCCAACGCGTTTGTGTTGTGCTTACCTGGGACGGAACGGGGTGGCCTGCCTCCATTTTTAACCATGTACTCGCGAACGTCCGGAGATTTCAAAATATTCTCGTTGTCGCTGTGAACGACAAACTTTTTGTTGAGATCGTCCAGCTCTGTCCGCATGTAATGTATGCCATGGTGCACAGAGTTTTTCTTGGTGGCACAAGGGTGGATGAAAAATGCACCATCTCCACGCATGAAGACCAGATTCCATCTGGCCCCATTCGAAGCTGCAGGTAAAGGCCGACAAACATCCATCGTGTAAAAAACCTCCTCCTCACCTACATCCTCCTGTTTCGTGGAAGAGCCGCGCTTGAAACCGGCACTTTGCTTGTTCGCTTCCACGCAGTGAATGCAAGGAGGGTCGTACTCTGGTAAGAGGTCGTGCTCGTCGAAGCCCACGGTTTTGGGCTGAAGCGCAGGCCCTGCTGAAGGGGGATCCGGGGAGGGCGAGTTGCCCGCTTGGCCCGGTAACCCCGCGTCGCTGCTAGATCCGTCACCCGCCCCCGTTTTAGGGGCAAGTGCGTTGTCGGATGGTTTCTTCTTGCCCCAGATGCGCATGCCTGCCTGCGCGGACACGCTCCCCTGCACCTTCTGAATTGCAGCAAGCGCCAGCTCTAAACCGGAGAGTTCCCCGCCCGTCTTGGGCGAAGATGCTGCTCCTCCTTCCTGCGTTCCTTCTGCTCCACCTTGTGTTCCTTCTCCTCCTCCCTCAACGCTGGCTGACTTAGCCAACTGGGCCCGCTCACGCGTGATCGTCTGTGCCTGCACGTCGCTCAGGTAGGGTACGTTTCCAACAACTTGTGGGTCCATGGTTTTAGACCCTTGCGAGATGATGTTGGCGACCTGTTGCTCCTGTTCAGAGCTGAGCTGTGCAAACTTAACCCCCTTCTCGGGGCCCCAAAACACGCTGAACTTCGCTTCGTTTACGGCTACACCTGTGGAGTACAAGGGAGGACCGTCCGTGATCACGTCGCCATTCGGCGCCTGGAACGAGGGCTTCGTTTTGCCCATCGCCAACTCGACACGGACCGGCTTCAGGTTAGTTTCGTTCTGTTGCTCCGGGCGGAACACAGCGCTAGCGCCGCTGTCCACAGTCCAACGACCACCTGCGGGCAGACCTCTCGCCGCCACGATTGGAGTATGCATCCGCTCAGAGACGATCTGCAAGGCCCTCTTTACTAAGGCTCCGTTGCCTCCCGAGTCGGGTGGCTCCGCCGGCGCAACTACGGCAGTGCCGCCTTTGGGCACGCCCGTGATACGCTGCAACGCCTCTGTCAGCTTTGCATCGTACTTTTCCTGCGCCTTTTGCGCCTTTGTGGCTTTGGCCGTTTCGCTCTTGTCCGCTGTGTTTGTCCTTTCGGAAGGTTGGGCCGTGGAGTGCTGCCCCTGCGGTGCCGGCTGGTTTGCCGACGTGCTGTGGGAGCCGCTGCCGCTCTTCGCGGGCAAGCTTTTTGGCTTTGGCTGTTCGCCAGGCTTACACCCAACTACAGGACAGTCTGCAGACTTGTGGCCCAGTTCACCACACTTGAAGCACCCTCCCGGCGGCGGGTCCCCATGCCTCATTGGGCACGTTTTCCCGTTGACGCAACCGCGACCAGACGAGAAGAACCAGCAAAGCTTTCCGGCGGCTTTGCCGGCGCCCTCGGCCGCGAGTGCGGCTGGGTCTGACTCAGACCCCGTTGCTTTCAGACCCTGTTGGCGGGCGCGCGGGGCAGCTCCTCCGGCAACCCTCACTAGGCCGATCAAGTACTCGACGTATTGATCAAACAACTCAGCATCGTCTGGCCGAATGGAGTCTACGCCGTGTTGGCGCACGAACAACGCCCGGTCCAGGGCGAACTTCTGGTTCGAGTCAAAGACGGACACTATTTTGTTCGCAGCTGTCACCATGATGCCATAGCCTGGCACTGCGATGCCAAAGCGACCCAGGTAGGACACCAGCCGGCGCCACTGCTCGAGACGTACTTCAACGTCCTCGCCCGGCCGCGTTTGCGGGACATCCGTGATGGACCCTAGCAGCTCTGTGCGCTCTGTGTGCGTGCCGCGATACGCCTTCATCAGCAGCAGCATCAGCAAGTAGTCCGTTGTCATGCTGGTGCCCCTGTCGTTGCTGATTGCCCGCGCGCGCAAACCCTGTGGCAGGGCGGCCAACACTAGAGGCGACAGTCTGGATTCGATTGGCAACTCTTCGACTGGAATCGGCCTTGTGGTGTACGACCACGG